ACTGGTTTAAATGTTATTTTATTTAAAGTTACATAAGAATAGATCTTAATTATCTAGGAGATCTAGCCAGCATTGAAAGGGTTATTCTAACTGTTAGCCAGGGTTTTATGGCCCTTCGCTGTGAAAAGTTTCTCTTTCAGTCTGTGTTAAAGATAGTCATAAATCGTCAAAAATCTTGACAGATAATGCTGTTTAGCTGTTGAGACGTGTGTAGCCATTTCTTTGTATTGCATATCATTTTGTACTGGATATTCATTGATTATTGTCACGCATGTTACATAATATTATTACATATTATTATTATTAATTAATTTGTTATTATAAATAAAATCTATTTTTATAACAAAAATTGTGATATTATTTATATATATATATATATACATTTCACTTAACACGATAACGATATTTGGGATCTGAGAATTGAATTAGTGGGCAATTCTCACTGTTACTATTATTATCCCATAAATATCCCCACAGTATGTAAAAGTGTGTTTTGTTGTTTTTTTGTTTTTTTTAAAGCAATCTATTGTTTGAGATCAATACTTGTACAATACAAGCAGAAAGTTACATATAACAAAGGTTAGTTTCAATGTATCAGTACTTAAAGGACCACTATAGGCACCCAGACCACTACAGCTTAATGAAGTGGTCTGGGTGCCAGGTCCACCTATGATTAACCCTTTCTGCTGTAAACATAGCAGTTTCAGAGAAACTGCTGTTTACCTATGGGTTAATCCAGCCGCTAGTGGCTGTCTCATTGTGAGAAGACGCCAGCGTCCATAGAAAAGCATTGAGAATGCTTTCCTATGGACTGGCTGAATGCGCGCGCAGCTCTTGCCACGCATGCGCATTCAGCCGATGACAGGGAAAGGAGGCGGAGAATCTCCAGCGCCGGGAGATTCCCCTTCCTCTCCATCCAGCCCGGCGGGAGTGGGACCCTGAGGGTGGGGGAACCCTCAGGGCACTATAGTGCCAGGAAAACTAGTATGTTTTCCTGGCACTATAGTGGTCCTTTAAAGAACTTGTTAGTGATATAGTTTACTGATATTGCATGGAAAGCATTCTGCTAAGGATATGGGGGAATTGAGCCCCGTTCCATATCCTTCATTCTGCGCCAGTTATTGATATAGTTTACTGATATTGCATGGAAAGCATTCTGCTAAGGATATGGGGGAATTGAGCCCCGTTCCATATCCTTCATTCTGTGCCAGTTATTGATATAGTTTACTGATATTGCATGGAAAGCATTCTGCTAAGGATATGGGGGAATTAAGCCCCGTTCCATATCCTTCATTCTGTGCCAGTTATTGATATAGTTTACGGATATTGCATGGAAAGCATTCTGCTAAGGATATGGGGGGGGGAATTGAGCCCCGTTCCATATCCTTCATTCTCACAGTTATAGACTGCTACATGAAACTAAATTACCAGCCAATTGGAAATGTAATCAGGTGCATGATGGGAACATGTTCTAAACACTGGGAACAAATATTGCAACTGAGAATGTTTTATAAAATAAATACATTGTATCCAGGGCCGGATTAACATAGGGGCTGATGGAGCTGCAGCTCCAGGCCCAGGCTCATGGAATAGGCCCATTGATTTTTTTTTTTTAAATTCTTTTTTTTTTTCACATTTTTTTTTTTAAATTTTTTTTTTTTCACACACTACTCTTAGGGATTCCACCTGGCTTTTATTTTATTGGCACAGCCAGTATTTGAGGCTTCCTGGCTGGTGCCAATATTGCAGTTATACTGGCAATACAAATGCTGGTATTTTTCTCAGTATAAACAAGAGATTACTCTGCAATACCAGCACTGGCCAGTAGGGGTCGCTGTATGTGGAGACAGGCAGGGATAGGAAGTTCCAGCATATCCCTCCCTGCCTATCTATACTCACTGATCTGCAGGGGTGCAGCTACAGAGAGTCCAGACAGCAACTCCCACCCTGCAGAGACAGCCTACAGCTCAGGGAAGTAAGGGATGGGGGAAAGGCTGCAAGGAGACATGGGGACACTGAGACACTAAGGGACACTGGGAGACATTATGGCAGACACTGAGACACTAAGGGACATTGGGAGACATTATGGCAGACACTGAGACACTAAGGGACATTGGGAGACATTATGGCAGACACTGAGACACTAAGGGACATTGGGAGACATTATGACACAGACACTGAGACACTAAGGGACATTGGGAGACATTATGACACAGACACATGGGGACACAGTGTCCCCATGTCTCCCAGCCAGTGTCCCTGGTGTCTCAGTGCCCCTTAGTCTCCCAGTGACCCCTAGTCTCCCAGTGCCCCCAATCTGCCAGTGTCTCACTGTCCCCATGTCTCCTAGTGCCTCCATATCTCTCAGTGCCTCAAGTGTCACAATGTCCCCATGTCTCCAAGCTAGTGTCCCTCGTGTCTGTGGCCCTGGTGTCTCAGTGTCCCCATGTCTCAATGTCCCCATGTCCCCCAGCCAGTGTCTCTAGTGTCTGTGTCCCCATGTCTTCAATATTTTCCCATTGTCCCCATGTGTCCCAGCCAGAGTCCCCTAGTCTCCCAGTGTCACTGGTGTCTCTGTGTCCCTAGGTCTCCCCGTGTCCCCAGGTCTCCCCGTCTTCCTAGTGTCCTGGTGACATGGGGACCTTGGGATACATGGGGACACAGGGAGACATGGGGCATTGAGACACTGTGATACATAGGAACACTGAGACCTGGAGTAATCGACACATGGGGGCACTGGGAGGAATCCATCTATACAGCAGAAACTACTTTTCACATACTCTTACTTAAGTATGGAAACTTAAAAGGGATGTATGGGAACAAAACTTGTGTGGACTGGCTGACAATGAATATAGTTAAAGGGACACCAGAGTCACCAGGACAACTACAGCTTATTGAATTTGTTCTGGTGAGTAGAATCATTACCGTCAGGCTTTTTGCTGTAAACACTGTCTTTTCAGAGAAAATACAGTCTTTACATTACAGCCTAGTGATAACTTCACTGGCCACTCCTCAGATGGCTGTTAGAGATCCTTCCTGGGTCATGGCTGCCTAACATGCATCCAAACATTCAGTGTCTCCTCCCTCTGCATGCAGACACTGAACTTATCTCATAGAGATTCATTAATTCAATTCATCTATATAAGGAGATGCTGATTGGCCAGGGTTGTGTTTGAATCATACTGGCTCTGACCCTGATCTGCCTCTTTGTCAGTCTCAGCCAATCCTATGGGGAAGCACTGTGATTGGATCAGGCCACCACTTCTAATATTGTCAGCAGACTGCTTGTTTTTATGACTCTAACAGCATGCAGAGTTACAGCTTCAGGCTTGAATATAGTAAGATTTTGCTATATTTATGGAGGCAGGGGGGCTAGATGGTGGTGTTAACACTATAGGGTCATGAATTCATGTTTGTGTTCCTGACCCTATAGTGATCCTTTAAGGTAATGCTGACTGGTCTCTCTAACACTGTGGCATGTTCCATTTCTTCTACACTCACTACTTACAGCTTTTCTCTGTCCCAGACTATATACCAGGAGCTTCTGCCTGCTAGTAAGAAGGTAAGGAGACAAGTGGACCAGCGAGTGCTAGGGGACAGTCCTTAGAAAGTGTTGAGTGAGCGCATCATTAGATGCATTTATGCCAAGCTCAGGGTGCTGTCTGCATAGTATGGCCAGCTGCATGATTGGCAGGCAGCCTGACATGCATTCATACCAGGCTGGCCTTCAAATTCTTTGGGCAGACATGTCCTCTTTTTGGGCATGTTCACCCCTTTTGGCAGGTTACGTGATTTGTGTCAGTGGCACACCCTTTTACTATGCCCATTGACGTCCTGCTTGACTGGACACTGCTGTTAGGGGTTATGGATTTACTTGAAAGATGAAAACATAAATTAGAGGGAGATTAGCCTAGGGTATGTGTTTTCTTATAGCTGCTGTTTTCTTTCTCTCCAGCACCATCTCCATCAGATACGTGACGCTTGTGAGTGTTTTACTGTTTTTGGTCAATATGATTCTGTAATTAGGCCCGTCATAATTGTCAGCACCAGGCCCACTGGGCTCTTAATCTGGCCCTGATTGTATCCATTAATTCCAATCCAATAAATCTTACCATGTTAGCAGTAGGCCGTGTGTGAATAATATCCCGTTCCTGAATTGGGGGAGGAGCTTTACAACATATTGACAAAAGTCAAGCAATCACCATGGAAACCAGTGGAACCTGGCTACTGATTGCTCCACTTTCATTGCTGGTTACCCAAAAAGTGTGATTAACAGAACAGGCTATTTGTTTCTATGGTGATGGCTTTACTTTTAGAACTTTACCCCGCTCCTCTTACAAATTCTTACAAACTCTCATTATATCTTCCTCCATTATGTCCCAAAAGATCTGCTTCACTCGCAGTCATTAAACTCTGAACAGTAGTGAATAAAATTTAGTAAATTAGCTGAATTGGAGAATCTTTCCAGATGAATTATTTCTACCCAAACGTTGCCATTTAGTGAATAAACCATTGTGTATACTCCAAACACTGAGGGGATTCCCACCTCCACTAATTAATAACACCATAAGATTCTCTAGATCAGGGGAGCCCACAGGTAGATCCCCAGATGTTTTAAAACTACAGCTATCATGATGCTTTGTCATTTCAAAGACATGCATCGCATCATGGGAGTTGTAGTTCTATAACATCTGGGGGTCTACCCTGTTCTAGATAAAGATATGTTTAGGGATGTGATAATAGTAACATGTCGAATCTTGGGGGTCTATAAACTAGAACGTAAATTATGGTGATTTATCCGAGGGATTAGGGTGCAGTCGACTTGTGCACAAAATGCTTTTCATCGTATTCACTGAATAAAACTCCACAGGTAAATCCTGCATGGATCGATTCGGCGCAGGTTAAAATGTACACAAGCACAACGTGCAGTCAAGCTGTGATGGTTAAATCATGCAGAATGATTTCAGATAATGAATAACCCACTCCTGCCTTGTTATTATCCTGGATCCCTATCATGTGTGCTAAATCAGCCACTGCCCCTCCAGCCCTGTGAACTCTCTCAGATTGTGCAAGAGCAAGTTAGCCTGTGTTTAATTAAATCCACATTGCGGAACAGTTTAAATATCTGGTGGGGTGTCTGCAGACGAGCAGTGAAGATAGTGACATCGTGTCCGTCATCTCGCAGCAATGGCAGAACTTAAGGTGAGTTTTGAAGTTCCAAACTGCTAATATTACCGTTAGTGACGTGAGATTGTTATCCTGCTGGGAATTCTCAGAGTTTATACGAAGATATTTCGATAAAGTGTGAATTGTTGGGGAATCACAGAGAATCCAAAATGGTTAGTCCCTAAAGTGACAATTCAAAGTTATTCTCAAATTTAAGCCTAAAGCAGCCGAAACAGAGAAATTCTGTCAACTATTCTTCCAGTTTGTTTATTTTAGCCTTAAGTTTGAATTTCACTTAAAATCCCATCTTTAGTAAATAAAGGTGAAAGTCTTTGGCAAAATAGCTTAACTAAAAATGTCAGTTATCTTGGCTTAACTTGAAATCTGTATTTTTTAATCTTAATTCTTACTTTTAGTAAATTACCTGGTGGGAGGGAGAGTAGCCCCTCACCCTCCCCCCCCCTTTTTTAAATCACAACAAAAGAAAACGTAAGACTGGCATTATGATTTTATAAATGGAAAAACAAATGTGAATGATTGTGATCAGATGTTTTGAGGTTGATAAAGCGAATGGTGTAAGAGTGACCCCCATCCCTTTATCCTGTGCGCCTCCATCGTCACTCCGTATTAATTCTCATTATAAGCTCTGTCCTTTACACCTAGCAATCCATATAGGGAGAGCAGACAGGGGAGAGGAGACCTGAAACACTGGGGGTTATGGAAAATGTTTTAGGATCATTTCCTGGCTTTTTATTTTTTTTTTATATATATATATATGTGTGTGTGTGTGTGTGTGTGTGTGTGTGTGTGTATATATATATATATGTACGTACCTTATAAGCTCTGCCCTTTTTGCATAATTTTATTTTCCTGTTCTATTTAGAGGTTTTTGGGGGGGGTTTTTTTTCAGCAATGTGTCCCTATCACTGTATTGATTTAAAATAAACAAAGCGTGCATTACTTTCAGACCCATTTCTCCTCCACGGTTAGAATAGCAGATTTTCTGACCGGTAGGCAGCTTTCACTTTCTTCCATTTTGTTCAAAGGGTTACTCCGAGCACCTCGACTGGAGTCTGTATGTGCCCGTACACAGATTAATCCCTTAGCTGCTGAAGGTGTAACTTACTGGGCGTATTATTGCTGTTCTACACTCAGACACATTACTGGGAGTATTATTGCTGTGGAGCTCTGTTATACTCTCAGACACATTACTGGGAGTATTATTGCTGTGGAGCTCTGTTATACTCTCAGACACATTACTGGGAGTATTATTGCTGTGGAGCTCTGTTACATACTCAGACACATTACTGGGAGTATTATTGCTGTGGAGCTCTGTTATACACTCAGACACATTACTGGGAGTATTATTGCTGTGGAGCTCTGTTATACACTCAGACACATTACTGGGAGTATTATTGCTGTGAGCTCTGTTATACACTCAGACACATTACTGGGAGTATTATTGCTGTGGAGCTCTGTTATACACTCAGATACATTACTGGGAGTATTATTGCTGTGGAGCTCTGTTATACACTCAGACACATTACTGGGAGTATTATTGCTGTGGAGCTCTGTTATACACTCAGACACATTACTGGGAGTATTATTGCTGTGGAGCTCTGTTATACACTCAGACACATTACTGGGAGTATTATTGCTGTGGAGCTCTGTTATACACTCAGACACATTACTGGGAGTATTATTGCTGTGGAGCTCTGTTATACACTCAGACACATTACTGGGAGTATTATTGCTGTGGAGCTCTGTTATACACTCAGACACATTACTGGGAGTATTATTGCTGTGGAGCTCTGTTATACACTCAGGCACATTACTGGGAGTGTTATTGTTCTTGAGCTCTGTTATACACTCAGACACATTACTGGGAGTGTTATTGCTCTTGAGCTCTGTTATACACTCAGACACATTACTTGAGTATTATTACTGTGGAGCTCTGTTATACACTCAGACACATTACTGGGAGTATTATTGCTGTGGAGCTCTGTTATACACTCAGACACATTACTGGGAGTATTATTGCTGTGGAGCTCTGTTATACACTCAGACACATTACTGGGAGTATTATTACTGTGGAGCTCTGCTATACACTCAGACACATTGCTGGGAGTATTATTAGCTCTGTTATACACTCAGACATTACTGGGAGTATTATTGCTGTGGAGCTCTGTTATACACTCAGACACATTACTGGGAGTATTATTGCTGTGAGCTCTGTTATACACTCAGACACATTACTGGGAGTATTATTGCTGTGAGCTCTGTTATACACTCAGACACATTACTGGGAGTATTATTGCTGTGGAGCTCTGTTATACACTCAGACACATTACTGGGAGTATTATTGCTGTGGAGCTCTGTTATACACTCATACACATTACTGGGAGTATTATTGCTGTGGAGCTCTGTTATACACTCAGACACATTACTGGGAGTATTATTGCTGTGGAGCTCTGTTATACACTCAGACACATTACTGGGAGTATTATTGCTGTGGAGCTCTGTTATACACTCAGACACATTACTGGGAGTATTATTGCTGTGGAGCTCTGTTATACACTCAGACACATTACTGGGAGTATTATTGCTGTGGAGCTCTGTTATACACTCAGACACATTACTGGGAGTATTATTGCTGTGGAGCTCTGTTATACACTCAGACACATTACTGGGAGTATTATTGCTGTGGAGCTCTGTTATACACTCAGACACATTACTGGGAGTATTATTGCTGTGAGCTCTGTTATACACTCAGACACATTACTGGGAGTATTATTGCTGTGGAGCTCTGTTATACACTCAGACACATTACTGGGAGTATTATTGCTGTGAGCTCTGTTATACACTCAGACACATTACTGGGAGTATTATTGCTGGGGAGCTCTGTTATACACTCAGACACATTACTGGGAGTATTATTGCTGTGGAGCTCTGTTATACACTCAGACACATTACTGGGAGTATTATTAAAATAACAATAAATATTGTGTGTATGAAGTGATTGAATGGTTAAATTAAATACCAGTGTGACATTCCAAAGGTTAAACTCGCTGGGCAGTCTCTCCTGCCTGGAGGTGGTCAGCCTATGACTGAGTGCTATATGACATTCCCCCTGTCCCTTGGACTCCGCTGGTGCTGGATGCACTTTGTCTGACAGCGGTTTGGAGAGGGTGGTGGGGAGAGGGGCGTTCTCCCCACAGCCAATCAGAGCCTCCTGTCTGACATCTGCCCAGCTGTTTCGCCACATGGAACCTTGAAGTTCTGGCACCAAGGGGGAAACCGCTTCCCAAACTGATTAACTCCTTCCTGCCCAGTCAGGCTCATCCTTAATAGGCTCATGCCGAATAATACTGACAGCGTCTGGAAATGTCCTGTCTGAAGGAAAACTCTCACAGATAGGATTATTCCTAAAGTGAGAATTGTTGGGAATTTAACATTTCTCTGGCTGGGTTACTAGCTCTGTATCGATATGGTACTCTTTATTTTGCATTTCTCCCGCTTTGAATGATGGGTGACGTATGACCTTTTTACTGTGGTTCCTGCGCTACACTGAATTTATAAGCTGCTCTGACACTGTGAACGGGAGCATAGACTGATCTGATGTCTAGTGACCCTTTCCGCTAATCTGTACCGTCATGACGAATAATGAAGCATAGAATGTATTATGGAAGCGGTTTCGTCTTCAAAACACCTTTTAATCTGACGTCTAATCTCCAATATCCCAACATCAATAGGCATCGCAGGGTCTAACAGACACAACTCGGAGCCGATAGCCCATTCTGTGTAGAGGTTCACAACCCCTGGGAGCAGGACTTTTCCATTTTGTACGTGGATGGAGATAACTTGCTGTTTTATTTCCACATCTCATAGGCCTCATCCCTGTCACAATGAAGGACATTGTGGATAATGTAGTCTCTTTAAATCAAGGGAAATGGGGTCACTGGTAATTAACCAGAACACTGCAGATGTTTGTGGAACACACTTCCCAATCCCATCCTCCTAAGCCAGCCAAAAGGGGCAAATCTCACGGTAAATGTGTGTACAAGGTTCTGCTTATTTATGTATGTGAGCTTGTACATAATGTGGGGAGGTGAGTTTACCTGTGTTGGTGGATCGGTTGTGGGGGGAAGGGGTGTAGGTGACTGGGAGGTTGTGAACAGAGGGGTGGATGATGGCAGAATGTGACAAGGTGGGTAGGCATATGAGAGGGAAGGTGCATGGCACTGTCTTGGTGATTATGTGTAGTTCAGTGAGTGAATTTAATGTAGCTGGGAGGGGGGCAGGATGTGACTGTGTATGTGACCAGACGTGTGCCTGGGTGAATGAGTACGAGACCGGTGCATGTAACTACATTCAAACAAATTATATAGCGCCAACATATTCTGCAGTGCTGTACAATAGGCAAACAAGACAAACTCTCAATTCTAACTAAACATGTGGGACAAAATATTAAGACAATATGGGAAGAGTAGGTGAAGAGGGCTCTGCCAAAATGGACTTACAATCTAAGGCAGGGGTCAGCAACCGATGGCGTGTGTGCCATGCACGCCACTCCAGGCGCTGACCTACCAGGGGTCCCAGCGGGACTTGAGATCTTTGCTAGTGCAACCCAAGCGATGATTTAGTCCATTTACACATTGTAGCACTTGGGAATGGGAAACCGCACTGGAGTGGTGCAGTCTGAAGCACCTATCAGAGCACCTGATCCTCTACCTGGCCAGCCCGGCACCCACTAGACCCAGGGAAGCCACCCACACTGCTAGATTTCCACAAAGCTGCAGAATAACCCTCCTCCTTATACAAACCCGCACACAGTCACACCCACAAACAATCTACATAAACACACAATGTTGCATATCACCCACACACACCATTACACAAGCAGCATCCATACACAGGTATCATAATACCACAAACTACTCATGAACATATACAATATAAAAGCCCACATATGCACAAATACAATGTTACAAAGCAATTGCACCACCCATAATTAGAACAAGCAGAAAATGGCAAAATACACGCCTCCATTTGAAAAAAATAAAAAGACAGGACCAGCACGCCAAGGCATAAAATCTGATTTTGGCACAGTAAATACTACTAAAAGGTTGCCTAACCCTGATCTAAGGGGTTGAGGGAATCAAGTGATCAAGGATGGTGGGAGACGGCAGAGGAAGGTTATAAGGGGAGAGCTGACTGCAAATGTAGCATGGGGGGCCATTCAATAAGGCAGCAACAATCCCGGAGAAGTCCTGCTGGTGCGAGAACATGATCGTAACAGGTTGTTTGTGGAGTGAAGGGACTCGAGTATATCTTCTTATGCGTTAGGAAATGTATGCAAGGGTAATGGGGAGCTTTGTAGGTAAACACAAGAACTTTGAACTGAATCCTAACTGGAATAGGAAACTGGTGTAGAGAGGTGAGGTGTGAGAGTTGCGACTCAACAACTTTTAACAGCCAGAGATGATCTGTCTCCCTGCAGACACCACAGCCAGTCCACCTCTTACCTTACAACATAATCAATGTGTGAAATCAGCATGCCAAACCCATCACCAGTCTACCTCCTACCTTACAACATAATCGTTGTATGGACCCAGCCTCCAGGAACCACCACCAGTCCACTGTCATGAACGTGGGCTATTGGCCCAGTGGGGAGAGTGTGGAAGTGAAAGGGTTTATGACACAGGACCCCTGGTTACCTGTTGCTAGTCCCAGCAACTACTAAATTAACCCCTGCAATCCCTTCTACACTGACTCCCTTGTACACACTAGACATGTGCAATTCGTTTCGGTACAAATTTAACTTCGGACAAATTTCAGCAATTCGGACATTCGAATTGCCGAAGAGCTTCGGATTTCTGAAGTGGCAAAACAGAAGAGGGAGGGAAAATTAAGGGAATGATGACAGGAATCTAACCCTACCCCTGTTTGGGGTTGGATTAGGGGTAGGGTTAGGCTTAGGCAATTGCAGAATTTCGGAAGTGCCAAACCGAATTTTTATGCCCATGCACACACTAGGGATGTGCATGGGAAAACTATTCGGTTCGGCATTCCGAAATTCAGGACTTCGGTTGGGTTAGGAGTAGGGTTAGGGTTACCCTACCCCAACTCTTTACTGTTACCCCAACCCTCTCCTCGCCACTCTCCAGAAATCCAAAGCAATTCGGCACTTGGGACATGAGGAAGTATCCGAATTTCCGAAATTCGCCCACGTCTGCATTCGGAACAAAACAAATGGCACATATCTAGTACACACTATACTGCCACCACCAAGACTTTATATATGGGTTGTGGCAAACATAGCCACTTGGACAATATCCAGAGACTGTGCCTTTAAGGGTTGCCTGTATGTCAGTGGGGATATGTGTTTAACTATGTATAATGTATGCTGGCTGTAATGACGTGTAATTACTGTATTGGCTATCTGCCGAATGCAGATGGCTGTATGTGCTGTATTTTCTTTCGTTTCACGAACGGCACTTTTGTGGGTCGTTCGTGAACCGAAATAACCACCATGTAGTAGCCCACACACTTTGCAATGTTGCAATCGGTAATTAGAGGCTCTCCTAGGTGGCCGCCATTCGTCTACCGACCATGCGGCGGTTGGCCATTTTGGATCCTTTGTTCCCTCAGCGGTGTTTGGTCGTCGAGCGCATGGTACTGAAAACGGCTACTCGACGGCGCGAACACCGCTGAGCTTCCAGGCCATTCGGGAGTTCCGGGCCGTTGGAATTTTGTTCCCTAGAATGCAATCAGTATTTTGAACATGTATTTTAATGAATGTGTTTTTCGTGTGGCGTTCGGTTGTTTTAGCTGGGATCTGAGCGGTAATCTCACGAATGATGCGCTCAGACCCCAGCTATCTACCGAACGTCCATTCGTGCAAATCAACCTAATATTCGAAAAGTTATGGATTTTAATATAAATTGTCGGTCCTGCTGCACGGAGGGATAATCCACTTAACGGTACATTCCTGTGGGAGGATCTCTCTCGTGCAGCAGTGCCTGATGGGAGAAATGTCCTGTACAGTAAGTTCCCCATGTAGTCCACTCTGGGAATACCCCTGGGAGAGGACTCCGGAAACCCCTTGCATGGGGACTTGTATAAATTGTGGAGCTGCAAATAAAGACCTCAGTTGACTCTCAGAACTGTGTTTCGTCCGGTTACTGGGAGATTTGGATATTGCCTTGCTTTTTCCAGCGCTTGACTGTGGATTACTTCCTGAACCAGCGGAGATCGTGGATTTAATATTGGCGTTCCGCTACACAGGTGTCTTAGGTTACCCCACACACAGAATTATAGTATCACAACCCTACTTTACTGATCAGACATGTATAATTAACCCTTTTTAGTAACGTGTTTACAGGGCCAGATTAAGAGCCCAGTGGGCCTGGTGCTGACAATTATGATTGGTCTAATTACAGGATCTTATCGACCAAAAACACTAAAACAATCATACCTCTCAAGCATTATGTATCTGATGGAGATGGTGTTGGAGGGAAAAATCAAAGGATGCAGCTATAAGAGAACACATACTCTATGCTAATCTCTTTATCTAATTTATGCTTTCATCTTTTAAGTAAATCCATACCCACTAACAGCAGTGTCCAGTGAAGCAGGAAGTCAGTGGGCGGGGTAAAAGGGTGAGCCACTGACGCGAATCACGTGACCAGAACTCCCAAAAGGGCAAACATGCCCAAAAAGGGGGCATGTCTGTCCAAAGAATTGGAAGGCCAGCCTGGCATCAGTGTCCCTATGTGTCAATGTCCCCTAGTCTCCCAGTGTCTGTGTCCTCATTTCTCCCAGTGTCCCCATGTCTGTGTGTCCCCTGATACTAGGGGACACTGAGAGACCCGGGGACACTTGTGGATACAGACATGGGGACACTGGGAGACATTTGGGGTCACAAACACTAGGGACACTGAGACTGACACTAGGGACACTGGCTGGGAGGCATGGGGACACAGACACTTGGGGGCACTAATGTGGAGATGGGGACACAGACATTTGGGGACGCTGGGAGACATGGGGCACTGAGACACTAGGGACACTGGCTGGGAAACATAGGGACACTAATGTGGACATAGATATGGGGACACTGGGAGACATGGGTACACTGAGACACTAGCGACACTGGGAGCCATGGGGACACCGAGACACTGGCTGGGAGCCATGGGGACAAAGACACTAGGGACACTGACTGGGAGACAAGGAGACACTGTGTCCCTAGTGTCTCCGTGTCCCAATGTGTCTACCTATGTCTCACAGCGTCCCCATGTCTCCTATTGTTTCTGTGTCTCCCTGCTGCCTTTCTCCCCATCCTTCACCTACCTGAGCTGTAGTCTTTCTGCAGGCTGGGAGCTGCTGTCTGGACTGTCTGTGCTGTGTAGCTGCTACCCCGGGATCAGTGAGTAGAGAGGCATGGAGATGCTGCAACTTCCTATCCCTGCCTCTCTCCATACACAGTGACCACTACTGGCTGGTGCTGGTATTGCAGAGTAATCTCAGTTTATACTGAGAAAAATATTTGTATTGCCGGTATTACTGCAATACCATCACGGCCAGGCAGCCTCAAATACCGACTGTGCCTTAAATTACCAGTCATGTGGCAAACTTAAGAGGTGTGTGTGTATAAATTTTTTTTTTTTTTTTTTTAATGGGCCTGGAGCTGCAGCTCCATCATTCCCTATGTTAATCCGGCCCTGCGTGTTTACCTGAGCTTTCCTCAGAAGAGTGAGCTCATAGAGAACAAAGACACAAGCTGATTAAGTAAACATTTAATCTGACAAAAAGGATTCACAGTGCTGGGTACAAAAATATAGAAATAAATGACCTACAGAAACACCGATAAATTGCAAAACAGTCTATAAAATAAAATGGGAGAAAACACAAGAATTCCTTACATGTATTTACCCGTTATTTTTAATTCTTGTGGGAGATTCAGATGTTAAAGTTCTCCAGGTAGTTGTTTAAAAGAAATATCTCCCTGGATAATCCAATATCCTCATTATATGTCTCAAACTAGGTTTTTTTTTTTTTTTATTTATTTATTTTTTTTTCTAAATGGCCAGACCTCTGGGTGGATCAGAGGGGTTTGGCCTGGCAGTTTATTGTCCGCTCCATATTTTCTTAAATTATGTTCTTTTGAATAACCCAAAGTCAGAGCATATGCACCAATACTTTTTATGACCAGCTCTGGTGATGGTTAGCCAGTTGTTACATTTTATGGCTTAGGCCTGGTGTTGGATCAAAGCCTACAATAAATGTTATCCCAATGTATACAAAAAACAACTCATAACCCTTATACCATGCCAACTCGTGATTTGGCACGACATCCACCCCCTACCTTACAACGTAATCCATGTGTGGACCAAGCTGGCCGACATCACCACCAGTCCACCTCCTACCTTACAACATAATCAATGTATGGACCCAGCCTGAATACACCACCGATAGACCTGTGCAATTCGTTTCGGGCAATTCGGATACTTCCGAATGTCCAAATAGATGAATTGCCGAAGTTCCGAAGCACAGTATTGCCTAAGAACTAATATACTTACCGAGTGGAAGAATGAAGAATGTTACACTGTATACAATTTTTAAATAAAAAGTATTCAAACGTAGCCAGGATTCAGCTGTAAGCATTTGTAACACTTACAACAATCAAGTAACATTAGCCAGTCAATGTAATGACCGGAATGAATAAGTAGATGGCTCCCTAATACCGTTGGAATTAGGGAGTTATCTACTAAAAGGCTGAAAGACCTAAATTGGTCTTTCAGCCAAATTTACTAATACTAAGTAAAGATTACTCCATATTAGTAAATTATGCCCCTACTTGCTATACCGCGAGTAGGGACATGTCTATTAAAAGTGAGCAGCCATAGGTTGCTCACTGTTAAAAAAAAAAAAAATAAAAAAAAAATAAAAAATTATAAATTTAATTCGTCAATCCTGAATTTTGTCCGCAAACAATTTTTTTTCTAGTAAAATTCATTTAAAAAAATAATTTATTATCGTCAAGTTGAACAAAAATAGCACTGTGCATGCGCAAAAAAAGCAAGCATGGAGCCGGCAGCACCACAGCTCCCTCCTCACAATAACCATTCCTACCCCCACGCCGCTGCATTAAAACCAGTCGGGGTCACTATGACCCCTATATTAATAAAAGGGAGGTTAAATCCTCCCGCATGTCCCTACTCACGGCTTGTCGCCTAAACAAATTTAAAACTACTAGTGACTGGGCAGTCACTAGTGCAATAAGGGGAGTCTGGCACAGGTTAAATCCTGCTGCATGCCCCTACCTGTGCCAGGTCCCCTTGTGTAGTCGGGGCATGTCACCTAAACAGTGAGCGAGTGGGGAACACAAATAACTCAAATGGGGGGACATCGTACCCCCCCACCTGTGACCTGTGAAAAATAGTCACAGTGCATACAAAAATATAGATAAACAGATTATTTACACCAACAGATAAAAACAAAAGGGATCAAATAACAGAAGTCCTAAATCCCTTACTCAGGTTTTCAAAGTAATACTTCTGCCCAGGGGATCTCTGGCAAGGAGGATGGTGACTTACTTCAAAATTAGATCTTGGACCCCAAGCAAGTACAAAGCAAAATTCAGTTTCTTTAGAGATATATTCTGTGGATTAACACACCCCACCCAGAGGTAGAGTTGAGGCATATCTATAGAGACACTAAGGGACCACTCCCTTGTGTCCAGACTCTGATCAATCCAAATGGAAACATTTGGCTCTATCTTCTCTTATGTACCTACCACAGAAATAATTGCATCAATGAATTCGTTCTTTTTCCATTCCATAGATATGTTACATGCCTTACTCGTGACCCAATATAACGGACAACACAATGCCTTCCCATGTGGTTACGTTATGCCATTCATGTTTGGGCTTGTGTTAGAAGATGTGGCTTCGTTATTATTCTGGGGGTACATATTAAAGTTTCTTTTGGATATGATACTTAAACACAAGGCTAATGATCATTAACACATCAAAAAAATCCCCTCATCAATGAAAAGGTACAGGCCAAATAGGTGAAGCCAGACATTCAGGCTTTTAAAAGTGTAGGGCACCCTGCAGAGCCTTGATTAATTCACATCCATATGGTAAAATCCAAAGAATTTTCCCACGCTGTGTAAAATGACACAAAGAACTCTGGTTGGATTTCAAGCTAACCAATCAGAGTGCTGTGACCGGTAACTGTAGAGACTCCATTCCAAATCCACATAGCTCACTGTGTGTGTGTGTGTGTGTATTCCATTAATATCTATAATAAAACATCCAATTAAAAGACTGGAACAATGAATGTTACTGACAACCCACTGCTCTCTCTTCCAGTACATGCCTGGGTTTGGCAACGAGTTTTCATCTGAAGATCCACGATGTCCAGGGGCATTACCTGAAGGACAGGTAAGTTTACTGCCCACATACTGTTACTCATAACCCCATCTCCTTTCCAAGATGTTTGGGTTTTCTAAAGGTATTTCTTTGTGTTTTTTTTCTTATAAGTATAACATATAAGGAGGCCCACACTACATACATGTATATAAGTGGATACATTTTGCACAATTTGTTCTGCAGTGTTTTGTTTTGTGTGTTTTTATTTTTATTAAAGACCTTAAAATTACTCAAGATATGTTTAAAATTCAAAAAGAAATTCACGAGCAATTGCTTATAAATGTTAAAGGACCACTCTAGGCACCCAGGCCACTTCAGCTTAATGAAGTGGTCTGGGTGCCAGGTCCCTCTAGGATTAATCCATTTTTTTAAAAACATAGCAGTTTCAGAGAAACTGCTATGTTTATGTTAGGGTTAATCCAGCCTCCAAATCCTCTAGTGGCTGTCTCATTGACAGCCGCTAGAGGCACTTGCGTGCTTCTCACTGTGAAAATTACAGTGAGAACACGCAAGCGTCCATAGGAAAGCATTGTAAATGCTTTCCTGTGAGACCGGCTGAATGCGCGCGCGCAGCTTCTGCCGCGCATTCAGCTGAAGAGGAGGATCGGAGGCGGAGAGTAGGAGGAGAGCTCCCCGCCCGGCCCTGGAATAAAGGTGAGTTTAACCCCTTTCCTCGCCATCCAGCCCGGCGGGAGGGGGTCCTTTAGGGTGGGGGCACCCTCAGGGCACTATAGTGCCAGGAAAACGAGTGTGTTTTCCTGGCACTATAGTGGTCCTTTAATAAAAATATCATTAAAATGAAACATTCTATTAGTTGGGTAACAGAGCAGACAAAATGATGACCAATCAACTTAAAAAACTTAATTCAAGGGACAGAATATTTAAGATATCTATCTGATGGGGACAAGGAATATACCAGCCCAGAAGATAGGACGAATGTTTAACATTTTTTTTTTATTCTAGATTATATAATATCTCAGACCAGTTAAAAGATAGAAATCAAATAAGAAAATCTCTATTCGGTTCTAATTTAAAATGATTATCTGAAGTACAATCTCGCAGCCTGAATGCCCCTATTGGATTTGAGGAAATTTATGAGAGCTCAGAAGCCTAATAAGACACCTGGACCTGATCAGTTCCCTGCAGCATTCTATTAAAAAAATGGTGGATACTATATGTCCATACTTGACTGGGACATTTAATGCGATCAGAGTAATTGGTTCCCTTCCTTCTGATGTGCTTCAGGCATTTATACTTCCTATTTTAAAGATCGGTAAAGAGGCGGTTAAGCTATCAAATTATAGGCCTATAATACAGAGAGAGATAGATAGAGATATATATATATATATATATATATATATATATATATATATATATATATATATATATATATATATATATATATATATATATACGTCCAATTCTCATACAAAAAGATCAGGTTGGATTTGTTAAAGATTGACAATCCAACGATAATACAAGGAAAATAATGTTTACTGGATTATGTTAGTATAAATAAAGATGGTATTTTATTAATACTATCACTTGACCCAGAGAAGGCTTTTGACAGTCAATTGGACCTTTCTGTGGGAAGTTCTTTATTGGCTCTGTCATGGCTTTATACACTAATCCAACTGCCAGAGTAATTGGACAAGCAATAAGATCAGAATGGTTTGAAATAGGGAATGGCACACGACCAGTGTTCTATATCTTAACTCTTGAACCTTTTGCAGCAAGAATTAGGAACAATGTGGAAAACAAACTCTGTATGTATGCTAATTTATATTTTTCTCTCTATGATCCTGAGAATTCTTTGGCCTTGTTAATGCTCGAAATTCAAAAATATGCTTATGTAGCAAATTATAAAATAACTTGAATAAATCGCAGGTTATGGATATAGCAATATCACACATGGAAAGATCTAGCTTAAGTAAAAAATTTCAATTCTGTTGGGGAATCAATGACCTTAATTATTTGAGCGTTATAATACCCAAAATCATAAGAACTATTATTTGAAATTAAGTATTCTATACTTTTGGAAGAAACCATTGGACAACTTCAAGAATGGAAAGGACTTTTTATATCATGGTTGGGAAGGATAAACGTAATTGGAGCATATAATATTCCGAAATGGATATATTTACTAAGAATGATTCCATTAAAACCTTTAAGCTGGATTAGAGCATTTCAAATAAATTTAAATACATTTGTCTGAGCTGGTAAAAAACAAGAATAAATAACAAGATTCTTTCTTCTAATCGCATGAAACGCAGGCTAAATATACCTATTTTGGAACGATATGCAGAAGCTAGTATGTTGTCACTTGTCTAAATTCCAATATAACCAGAGTAAAGCTGAAAACTAGTGTTATATAGAATAAGAATTAGCAGGTATTAGTAATTTGGAATATATACTATAGTTACATGATGGAAAAATTTTGAAAAACTTGGGGGGAAAAAATCAATTGGCAATGATAACTAGGAACTGTATTGAATTTTGGATAGCCTTAAAAGTCGAATAGGTTTGAAAGACAAGTTGTTGACGTCTGCTCCTCTAGATACTTTCAAATATAATATCCCTCATTTAAATCTATCTTACTGGGTAAAGTTTAAAAACTTTAGAGTGTGTGATTTTTATTTTTTTTTAATTTATTTATTTTTTAACTGAAAGTGGAATTAAAACTCCAACCCAATTAATAAATGAATATGCATTTTTGAATTCACTAAAAATATGCAATTCCTTAAACCCACATTGTTGATTATACAAAAAAAGTAAGAATATTTCCTTAATTAAGGCTTTTTGAATTATTTTGCCATTAAGTAAATGGTATAGTACATTAGAAAGTCTGGAAAAGCGGTCTAAACTATAGTCATTTTTGACCTGGCAAAAAGAATTGGACACTCGTTATGATTCAGAACAATGGATGAGTAGTATATGTGGAGTGAGCAAGTTGACTCATTGCCTAAACATGGTCGAATTGCATTACAAAATTATGATGCGGTGGTATATGGTCCCAGTTAGATTAGCAAAATTCAACACAGGGGTGAACCCATTATGTTGGAGATGTAATCAAACTGAAGGGACATTTAGTCATATATGGTGGAGTTGTAAAATAAAAATTTATGAAAATACATCAGGCTTGGATGGATATATTTGGCTATAATGGCCAGGAAATGCCGTTAACATGATGCTATAAAACTTAATATGTAATTAACCAAATCCGACACCAGGTTCTTATGGAAAAAGGCTATTCCTCTGCACACCAACATTATGAAAAGTTTAAAACGATCTGGCAATCGTGGTTATTAAAGTTTCCTATCCGTTCATGATCCGCCTGTGGACATAAATTATAATATAATACACCGCTTTGAGGATGATCTGTTTTCCCAGTGGCGCACAAATATTTGTAATAATTGTATTCGTACAAGTATGTCTTGTTACTTTTTGTACAGATTTTTGTTAATTTTCATTTATAATGATTACGCTTATGCCTATGATGATATGAATAATGCTAAAATATTGATAAGTAAAAATTGCTTGACAAATCAGTCAAAATAAATAAAAATTAAAGACCGAAAAGAAGAAGAAAAAAATTCAGTTGATTCAATAAAGTGAGGTTTATCCAAGCACACGGTGCTGCAAAATCCTTTACGCTGAAACACAAAATAGGCATCTATTGCAATAAAAAAGGAATTGAAACAAAATGCTGACCAGGCACACTATATATATATATATATATATATATATATATATATATATATATATATATATATATATATATATATATATATATATATATATATATATATATATGAAGGCGGAGCCTGGAGTTGTGGGAGGGGTTGCAACCGGCCTATATAAACCCACTACTTACCTCCATACCTTGCTGACAGTGCTTGGTCACTTCCTGTTGCTTGAGGTCAGCATCAGAATGATTTCCACTTCCGGGTCATCCAGACGCCATTTTACCTGCTTACTCCATGAGGTTTTCTAAGCTGAGCTGTGTCAGAAATCCAGCCACAGGCTTTTCCGGCCTACCAGCTTTTTCTTCAATCTATCGCTGTGGATGGTGTCCAAGTGGCTCACAAACCGTAAGTCGACCTACCCGTTACGCCAGGCATCAGTTGCACGGGTCAGGTCCTCACTTTACGGCTGCATTTTGTCTAAATCTGTCCTAAAACCATTGCATGTTCATGCATATCATTCGTTTAAATTCACTTTTTTATATCTGTCACTGGCTCATTTTGAGCTTTAGCATACTCCCAAACGGGAACACATTCTGTTTCAATTACCTAAACATACTAGGCAATTCTGTGCGTGCATTTCAAATCTCACTGCTCGTTTCGTTTGGTTTCCCTGACATGCCAGGCTCACGGTTCGTGCAATTTACTACCAAACGGGAACTAGTTCATGCATTTACTACTGTACTACACACACGTTTTGTGCGTTTACAACCCACTAACGGAACTTTGGTTTGCTACAATGACTGTTATTAAGCTATTATGTTCACATATTGTATATTGTCAAACGGGCACTGTTTGTTTCCCTGTCATACAACTATAATGCTGGGGCATAGCTCACGAACAATGTTTCATGTAAACCACACTGACCCCTACAGGTCACTCTCAAAATCTCATGTTAACCTTGCATTTGGATTAACCCCTTAAGGACCAAACTCTGGAATAAAAGGGATTCATGTATCCTGAAGGGGGTTAAAGGGTATTTTACCATACAATCAGCATTTCTGACCCTACTGGTCAACATCAAAACTGTCTTCATATGTCATATACAATTACTAGCCAATATCAATTACACATAAGATTGTTTTAAACCTAACCATAAATTAAACTCCAGCACTGGCTCAACAATTTGTCTTTCACATCAAGACTAACAGTGGTTCTATCAACACTGCCACCTACAGGTCTGTCAAGTACATTGACAATTTTCATGGGGTTTTACAGACACCAAAAACACTGACCCCTATAGGTCAACAGATAAACAACATTTCACATACCAATCAGCATCAACTACACTACCACCTATAGGGCACTCGGCAGTTCTCCAGTACACTTGCATTTTGCAACACCATGTTCACTGACCCCTACCATTCAATAAGGCATACAACAATTCACAGAGCAAGTAGTATAAATACACATATTATTACAAAGTAGCACACGCATCTGTATATACGTAACGGGTAATATAGTTCACATACATTTTTCATAGCACGCTGCTCACACAACAGACTTTCCCCTAGCAATGGGACATACAACATCCAAGGTGGGAACAGACCACTTTTCACTTGTACATACGGCACTTAATGGGTTAAGATTGATACATATTTAACCAGTATGGCTATGATGATTAATATTTACATGTCACGGCACTTTACTTTTCACATATACTGTATGTTTTAAGATAAGCTTGGTCTATGCCATTTTCCTTATGCCATACGATTTTATCCATTCAGGTTACAGTTACTACTAAAAAACCTATACGGATTGTCAGGTTCAATACCATACTACCAGGTACGTACACCTGCTCACGTAGTTATCCATCTCTTACCTTCCCTGGAATAGTAATAGTGTACTGGCAATTAGGGTTCTAGGGCCCAATAGGTATTACCCCCTTTTTTCTCTGCTTTATGCTTCGGTTAGTGGTCCCGCGAGGCCAACAACCCGCCTCACACACGGAGGCATACATCCCTCGGGCCACTCGTGAACTAGCCGCCTCGCATTGTATCATAGAGAGGGCCTCACCTGTCACTCCCCTTCCTATTTTTCTGGTTACTGTCACCGAGAGGCCAACATCCTGCCACAACGTTCGGTGGCCACAAAAAATCCCCTCGCGCCAAGCATAGATAGAGCCTCTCAAGCCACTTGGCAACTAGCAGGGCCTCACCAGTCACCAAAAAACACCAAGCCTAATCGTTTCGCCTTACGGCTTAGCTAGCAAGCCAGTACAAGAGCCCTGGGTACAAATATATAATTGCAATCTTTATTGTTATTTAAGTATTTCCCAAAAAGATGGTAAAGAATCTCCTCTTCCTAGCACCCCGGCTAGAAGTGATACACTTTCATCTCTTACCTTCCCTGGAATAGTAGTAATGTAATGGCAATTAGGGTTTTATGGCCCAATAGGTATTACCCCCTGTTTTCTCTGCTTTACGCTTCATTTAGTGGTCCCACGAGGCCAACACCCCGCCTCACACTCTGAGGCATACACCCCTCGGGCCACTCGTGAGCTAGCCGTCTCGCATTGTATCATAATGAGGGCGTCACCTGTCACTCCCCTTCCCCTTGATACACCTTCAAGCAGAGGAGATGTGGCTCCAACCTAAGGAGGCGACAAATCCCCTACCCTGCCACAGCAACGAACGCAGCGTTATTCAAACTCCTCCATACATTAACGGATAAAACGGAGACAGGGGAAGGCCCAGCAACACCAACTAAGGTGAAACCTAGGCCATGCTAGCCTCACTCAAACTCATGAGCCAAAAAATTTACGACAGACGAAATTCGGTTACCGGGTACAATCAATTCTTGGTACAAGACGTTAACCCTGCACATATGATCCCGGTACATTGGGGAAACAAGGCATAAATATGTATGATGCTGTATCTATGATGGTCAGACCCAGAGATTCCAGGTAAATCGGGAACAGACCATCCCTTGGTTGTGTTGGCATTTTGAATATGTAGAGATGCTTATTTGTGCAGGTACCCATACAGAAGGGATTTTCTCCCAAACAAATGGACGAGCACTCTCAGGCTCCAGGTACCAGCACCTCTGAACTACCAGAGACAATTGGTATGAGTCGTTGCATTGCATATAGAATGTTGCATATACGTTCAAATCATTCAGGGCACATGACAAACCATGTGTCCCAATACAACTTACAAATAACGTACTCACCATCTGTACACACCAATCCATTTTCAACACTACTAACTCATCACCCTTCCAGACTTGTAGTAGATTTACTAAAGCTCCGGAGCTTCAAAGGGCTCCCATACAGGTATCATACATACACCTTCAAGGAATATAGCATGTCCTCACTTACAGTCAGCACACAGAACCATCGGCTGTAAACACACTCATAGCCAAGAATAACAGAGGGGTTTTTACTTGGGTTTTCCAATCTCCACCATTTACAGCATGGCGCCAAACACAAACACATTGGTATTGTCACAAGGGAATCTTCCCTTAAACAAAGACTAACCATAGACTTATTGGCACCACACACCTTCGCTACCCCAAGTCTCAACTCCCTCATACCCTCCGAAGAGTTTCCTTACTATACACACCATTGATCTACCTTTACAGCTATCACTCAAGCATGGGTTGAAGCTTGGTTAAGTAAGACCAATATCATCAACACAGTAAATGGCTACCATCTACCCTACACACTGGCACTTACATGGCATAAAAATAGGCAATTCTTTCCCCACTAAAAGCAGCTCCTGTGGAATGGGGTAAATCATGGTCAGGGTCATCAATCCATTGTTACTCAGACAACTAAGCACATGGCATATCATCAACAACTTCGCCATGAGACGAGCTTTCATCTCACGTCTACTCGGTTTGTTACCCAACTTACCCAACAACAACAGCAGGGTTACACTGAACATTCAGGCTAGGGCGCATCTGACCAGCTGGTACCATTTCCTGTCGGACTGGAATGGGAGAAACTTGTTCATACCACCGTTGACATTAAACTCCCCTGTGTTATGGACGGATGCTGCAGGTTACGCAGGTTTCACAGCCATCTTCGAAGACAGGTGGTTGAGGGACGCTTGGCCTAGCAAAGCACTAGGATTACCCGCTTTCACAAAGACTTCGGCACTGTTTGAGATCTACCCCATAGTGGCAGCAGCTAAAGTCTGGGGCCACTTATGGGGAGGCAAAGCTGTCAAATGCTACTCTGACCACATGGCGGCTTGCGAGATTCTGAACAAAGGCAGGTCTTCTTCACTAACCATCATGAACCTGGTCAGGAGACTCACATGGTTGGCAGCCACACAAAAAATTTTTTTTTTTCCTGACTTGCATACACGTGCCAGGTCACCATAATTCAGCAGCTGACACACTATCCTGTTCAAAATTACAGGTTTTCAGACAGCTACACCCAACAGCAGAGGAACATCCAAGAAAGGCGCCGCTGTTCAGAGACCTCATCCTGGACTAAAATTACTCATGGAGCACGGGAGGGCACTAGCACAGGCCTCACTTTCCCCAAACACCAGACGCATGTACAACCGAGCCTTAATGTTATTCAACAAATTTGTTTCAGAATACATCATTACGAATCCTTATAGGTTAGATACTATGGTGGCTTTCACCTCTTTTTGCCATCTCAACTTGAAACTGGCACACAACACCATAAAACTCTATTTAACTGGAATACAGCATCATGTAAGCAACACATATTCCAGTATAAAAAACTTCCTATCAGCACACCCCATTAAAATATGCTAAAAGGCATCCAACGCCTAGAAAACCCAAAACCTACTAGATGGCTACCAATTGACGCAGAGAAATTCAGGGCATTGTCTGACATGTTAGATACCAAACCCTTGGATAATCACACCAATAACACACTCAAAACAGCCATATACCTGGCATTTTATGCGTCCCAACGAACTCACCTTAAGCAACATCAACAATAAGGGAAATATACTGTGTGTGTCACACATAAACATAATAGGTGATCACTACACATTGACATTAAGACATTCAAACGAATCAAATGGGTCCGCACCTTGACATTCAATTTTACCCAACCGGCAATCATTGGTGCCCCGTACAACTATTCGACAAATACATGGCAGGTATGGCTTATCAACCCAAACAAGCTCCTCTCCTCACAATACACAGTCAACCCCTGACTACATCAAAATTCGTCAAATACGTGAGATTATTATGTACAAGAATCGGGTACGATCCCACGGCATATACAGGCCACTCCTTTCGTATCGGAGCGGCAACATCAACCTCCAGCCAAAACGTACCAGTTCATATTACCGTTACATACCTCAACCTGAGAAAGAGTTGAGACAAGCTTTTAAACAATTGGCAAAGTAGGGAAGCTCGGGTAATAATGTATGTGTATACGTATTAAGTGTGGAACTGATACTTCTCTTTTGCCCTCTTTATTTACAGGCTGACCCGTTCGTCGGTTTCGGCACACTACAACCGACTTAGTATAGTAGACTAATGATTAGAGGTATAGGTCCACATAAATACGGCCTTCTTCCCTGACCACAAATGGGAAGGCGGAGCCTGGAGTTGTGGGAGGGGTTGCAACCGGCCTATATAAACCCACTACTTACCTCCATACCTTGCTGACAGTGCTTGGTCACTTCCTGTTGCCCCACCCACCACTCCACAAAAGGAATCAATTAATTGGTTGGCCCTCTTTATTTACAGGCTGACCCGTTCGTCGGTTTCGGCACACTACAACCGACTTAGTATAGTAGACTAATGATTAGAGGTATAGGTCCACATAAATACGGCCTTCTTCCCTGACCACAAATATATATATATCTATATATCTATATATATCTATATCTCTATCTATCTCTATCCAACAACTTCTATATCCTTTACAGGTACTCCATCATAGACTGACTACAGAGCAAGAGATGCAGAATTGAAAAGGAAAGGACACACTTTGCCCATTGACCCTTAGAATACGAACAACCTTAAAAACAAAGACAAATTCCTTTTATTTGGGGTGGCTGGGGGGCGATACTACATGATAATAGGCCGGTTATATACGGTAAAAATGCTTTAATGTTAGGATGTGTGCATACATTGGTGTACACCCATGAGATATAGTTTGACAGTATTGTATGCTAATTTAAGAGAGATGTGGCAAATAAAAATGAAAGCCACCTGTGAAGAAATCCCTCTTTATGTGTACTATTTCTTCCATATTCATTCAGTAGATATAACTACCGAACAGAGACCACCCCCTGGCTCGTTAAACTTAAAAGAATGCTTCAATTGAACCCTCTATCTGTGCAGCCAGCGTTCATACTAACGAACGCCACATGGCTGAGAAAACGGCGGCCATCTTTTTTTTCAGGCGAACAAAGGCAGCGGGACTTGGTCATCAAGTGTCTGGAACTAAAATCGGACACTCGACTTCCCGAACACCGGTCTCAACAAGCGAACGCTGGATCTCTATTTCCCGAATAGCTGGAAGAGCGCTATTCGGTACTTTTGTGCATTCGAATGAGGGGAACAATCGCTGCTAAGAGCCAGGGGAATCCATTTGTGGAATTATTCGGTTTTTACCACTTAACTGAATAGACCACCCAAACTCCTGGAACTATTTTGGGCAGCCACCTCGCGGTTAGCCGGTCACAAAGGACTTCCACACTTTTTGCAAACCCCTGAACCGATATGGGTGAAATTTGAATATGTTGGTCACCCAGATCAGGGCTATCAGGAGACATATTATTTGTGGGGATACCCCATGTCTAAAGGGTTGTTCTGAATATTGGGGAAAATTGTGACTTCTGCCTGGAGATAATCAAATTATTACTCTATCAGACTTGATTATCTCCAGGACTAGGGGAGGGAGTTGTGTGTTTTACTGTTTTCCTGTAACCGATTGGTTATACATTGTCCCTCCCTGTGGGATCTCCTCTTGCATGGGGACTTGCATAAAAGCCTGTGTGTGGTCATTAAAAGCCAGTTCTGTTGTACCCTTCTTCTTGACTTCGGCTGATGTTTGGGGATTCGTATGCTTTATTAAGGGAATAATCTTGTAACGCTATCTGTATTCGTATGGATTTCGTCTATTCCATCTACCGAACAGAGAGCTATACTCCCTGATGCTCTGGCGGTTCGGGAGGAAACTACCAAATGAGGATTGGATATACTAGGTTTCCTTACACCACCAGTCTCCATAGAGAACTTATCAATTTTATGCGGAAGGCAGTGACCAATCTATTGACTATTGTAGTAGCTCTATCGTAGGATCTAGTAGTATTTGCTAATGACCTGCCATGCTATAACAGAAAATTAAATCAATGATCAGGTCTGGGACCTCTGGGGCTCTGTGGCTTGACTGTTCCCTGTGGGAAGTAACCTGAATTCCTACATTAGACTGTTTGGTATATACTAGAATGGTTTGTCTGAGGACTGCAGAGTGAATCTAGAAACCATAATCTGCCTGAAATTTGTATTGGAGCAATAAAAGCATACCTGAAAGAAGTAGTAGTAGTAGTAGTAGTAGTAATAATTAATAATAAAAGGTTTTATTGACCATGCAGAATAGATAGTCCTAAAACAATTGGATTTAAAAGTGTACTAACCTATGCGTATGTGAGTTTCCCTCCAAAATACCAAAGTGTGTGTGTCTCTGGATATAACAATATGTGAACAATTGGCAATATAGTACAGGGAAAATAACCTAGATGGTAAGCCCATACATACATCCAGTTCTAGAACTCTTACACCCTCTACCCATTGTCTTTTAAACCGTATGTATTATCATATTAATTGAGAAGTAAAGGATAGAGAACTGGTGAATTTCCAAACCACCCAATAATTAGTTAAATGTTAAATATCCACCCTCGCTACACTTATAAATTAAAGTAAATTACCAGGTATGTTGCTGGCAGTGCCTTCAAACTCACAATGTTTTATTTTATTTTTTTTTTAAAGGACCACTCTAGGCACCCAGACCACTTCAGCTTAATGAAGTGGTCTGGGTGCCAGGTCCAGCTAGGGTTAACCCATTTCTTCATAAACATAGCAGTTTCAGAGAAACTGCTATGTTTATGAATGGGTTAAGCCTTCCCCCTAATCTTCTAGTGGCTGTCTCATTGACAGCCACTAGAGGCGCTTGCGTGCTTCTCACTGTGATTTTCACAGTGAGAGCACGCCTGCGTCCATAGTAAAGCATTGTAAATGCTTTCCTATGCGACGGGCTGAATGCGCGCGCAGCTCTTGCCGCGCGTGCGCATTCAGCCCAGGAGGAGGAAGGGAGGAGGATCGGAGGAGGATAGCTCCCCGCCCAGCGCTGGAAAAAGGTAAGTTTTTAACCCTTTCCCCCTTCCAGAGCCGGGCGGGAGGGGGACCCTGAGGGTGGGGGCACCCTCAGGGCACTATAGTGCCAGGAAAACGAGCGTTTTCCTGGCACTATAGTGGTCCTTTAATATTGCAAAGCCTTCAATATTCTTTCCAACCACTAGATGGCATCCACATTTTTTTGCAATTCAGATTTTAAGAATTTTTGAGGTGGGCACTTAAAGCACCAAAACCACTCCATCTAGAGTCTGTCAATGCAGTCTTTAAAAGTACAAGCTTAGCCATTTGTGATAAATCTCTAGTGGCTGTCAGTCAGGTCCTAATGAAGTTGTTCAATAACTGAATGTCTTCACATTCCGCATCACTGTGTCTGTCGTGAAGTCACTGACAAGTCTTCACATAGACCAGGGGGGCTAATTCCTAAATAATATAGTAATCATGTTTTATCTATTGGCCCACGGTGGATGGTTTGTGTATATTCATTTTTGATACTGCACATTGTGTTGCACCATAACATTCACACTGGAATAAAAGGGGAAACTGAATAAAAATCTAATATTATAATATTTTTTTGAGTGTATTCCAGTGTCTGACACCAGTAAGATATCATCCATTCAGTTGTACTTTCGGGATATAGAGTTACTTGTAATACTTTTTAAATAAATCTAAAATTACGATCTGTATGTTGCATATTAATTTCTATTTATGGAGAAGGTGTCTATGTTTTGTCCTCAATGCATTGGTTTGTGGTGAGCCGGTGCCTGGATCTCATTTAAATTCCTATTTATTCTTGTTCTACATAGAACAATCCTCAGGTGTGTCCATACGGTCTGTACGCGGAACAGTTATCTGGATCAGCCTTTACCTGTCCTCGATCTTCTAACAAGCGAAGGTACAATTATCTTTTTATTGGATTTGGTTTATAATGACTATCCCGCTATGCGATTAATAAATGTCAATGACTTTGTACCCTCAGCGACTCGCAGTACAAGAGTCAATTCTAAGTGCTAACCCATACATTTAAAGCACTGAACAATTCTAGCTCCTCATATCTCTTCACTGATCCATGGGTATGCCCATCCTCGTTCCCTCCACTCTGCCTGTGACCACCTCCTGACCGCTGCTTGCACCCGTACGGCCAACTCGCGCTTGCAGGACCTCTCGCAGGCGGCGCCTTTCCTATGGAATAGACTGCCTACTGCCATAAGACTCTCCCCAAGTCTTCAATCATTTAAGAAGGGCCTTAAAACCCATCTCTTCAATAAAGCTTATGGCCTCCCAGAGTAATCTCTACCTTGCATATCTGTCTCTTGCTCTCTCCTATATGACAGTGCTTTACTCTCTCCTCCAGCTCTGCTTCACTCCCACCCTATTTGATATTTCCTGTCCTAACGTTTCTAATACCTCATCTCCTATAGTCTGTAAGCTCGTTTGAGCAGGGTCCTCTTGAACCTATTGTTCCTGTAAGTTTTCTTGTAATTGTCCTATTTATAGTTACATCCCCCCTCATAATATTGTAAAGCACTACGGAATCTGTTGGCGCTATATAAATGGCAATAATAACTGTGCCGAATGTGCCAGTCATACCTTCACGCAGAGCCTCCCTCTTCACTTTTGTGTTTAGCTTTTTCTCTCTTTAAAGGAACACTCAAGCTTGTAAATAATAACTTAAACACAAAGTAACATCTTTTAAACCCTGCCACCTTACAGCACCAGGACAGTCTCATTGGGGCAGTCGCAGAACACTATTCCTATGTGGTTTTATCTTGTATATCAGGAGATAAGGCACGTCGTCATAACTGCAAACTTTATTTACAATGGCTGACACCCATACACTCAATGCAAGAGCCAGTTCCTGTCCTATAGTCCAATATTTGTTTTGTGTTTGGGGGCGGGACTGTTCTGGGCATCATTCGACAAGTTCATGCTCTGCAGCGGGTACTAGGACCATGCACAGATAGCATTAGCCACATTCTGTATGTGGTCCTGTAGGTTAGGGGCAAAAAGACATGTCAGTGGTTTTAGTTGGCAGGCCTGCCTTTTCTTCAACCCTTCCCCCCCCCACCCCCCCCACCTCAATGTTGGAAGGTATGCATCAATGAGAAGCAGTAACTGTGTTATTCATGTTGTATTTCTTTAGGTGAGATCAGTGTTCACTGTTGACACACTGTATGTCACTGATAGTTTTCATTCTGTTTACAGATTAATACCATTTAATCTCCTGTTACAAGGGGAGCTCAGTGAGTGAAAAGAAAGTGAGAAATGAGCATGACTGGGTGATAACTTAAATGGCTAGTTGGACATCTCCAGCTCATTGGTCAGCACAGAGGTGGCAGAGATTGTGGAAAAGCTAGACCTAATCCTTTCCCGAGAAGATAATCAAGACTTTAAATATATTATGGGCTTTGGATGTGATGTAATGCCCATATTTACTCCATACTGTAGTTTTTTTTTTTTTTTTTTTAAATGTCCACTTAGCCTGGAGTTCTGCTCCTTTATCTAACCTTGTTTTTCCCTTGTTCTGTAGCTGGCTGTATCGTATTTTGCCATCTGTTCGTCACAAACCATTTCAAGCCTTTGAGCAGAAAAATCTGACCCAAAACTGGGATGAGGTGGAACCGGACCCCAACCAAGTAATTCGTTTTGTGACGGCATATTCAGTGGGGAAGAAGGATGGGAATTAATAAAACTACTCACTGTCTGGTTTTAGCAAAGGCCACAATAATGGCTCCAACCTTACATAGCATCCAGTGTTAATTTGTGCATCTAAAAATAATAATCTAGAAGGCACTACCGTAAATGTGGTATCCATAGAAGATGTAGGTGCAGGATTGGTTCCACCAAAACACACACAAATCTAACCCACACACTGTTTAAATTGCAATATATTTATTCTTTATAAAATGTAGGGGAAAAGGTTTCCCCCTAAATCAGTCGCTTTGATGTTGATGCAACTGATTTTACTGGCTGTTTGTCAAGCATTTTTTTTCTAAAGAATAAACACTGTAGTTTTCAATATTTAACATGAGAATGCGGGCTCAATTTAGTGTTTTTATTGCAGGATATAAAAACATCTTGTGCAGTTACAACTAAACTTTGCATACATCCGCAGCTACTAGACTAGCAGCGAGGGACATGACATAGACATGCACAAGGGATGTGCAATCACTTTGGGATGGCATAATTTTCAATTTCTTTAACAAAAAACTGAATAAAATTTCAATAGCTGCTGGCCATTCTATAAAAACTGTGATGCGTTCCCCAATAAAATAGTCTGTGCACATTTAATGGGTCAGAGGTGTTCAGTATATAGTCAGATTCTGCACGTAATGATAGAACGTTTGGCAAACATTTCATCATAAAATGTATTTTCTCCTGGTCTGTGGCGTTTCTGGGACTAGTGTTTCTCCCACAATAGAGTCTTGTTTCAGTAAATGTTGTAATCTCTTTATGTCCTCTTTGCAGCTCAGATGGAAGCCATTTGAGATTCCCCGCGCTGATGAGAAGAAGCTCGACTTTGTAACGGTATGTGTCTGGTTCCCCTTGATATTATATTTTACTGTTTCTTTCTTGCTCCATCTCTGATTGGTGGGGCTGGAATCTACTTTAATGGCATAATGAGTCCCATCATAAAACTTTTATAGTAATTTACCTTCGGCTTCCCTCCTGTTGGGGCCTCAAGATCCAGGGTTTAGAATGGCCTGAGGGTTAGGTAATGCAGGTTGGAGAATTTTTTAGTTTTCTGACACTCATTCTGGATTTTTTTTTAATCTTTTTGACCAAGCCCCTGGTAGGTACACTGTCTGATTCTCCGTCATCCCATTTATAACATTTAATTCGAATATTTTTTTTTGCTCAAAAATAGGCTCCAGAACCCTTGACATGAGATCCTTTATGTAGGAATGGTTGGGGTTATACAATGGCCAATATTATTTAGTCACTGTATAACCCACCCTAACATAAGTGAGGAGATCTAGTCAGGGCTGGTATGTGTCCACCCCCTTATGAGCTGGTTGGCTGATTTGTTCTATATTCACATACAGTGTGTCTCTCGTTTCCCATTATGTCTTAATTTCAGGGATTGCACACACTCTGTGGAGCTGGAGATGCTCGCTCACGCAATGGGATCGCCATCCATATTTACACATGCAATACCTCTATGATTAACAGGTAAACATGACTAACCAGTTACAATGACTGACAGGATATCAAATGCTTTTTGTTTTTCCTTTCACCCCATTAGAAGCCTGAGACAGGACTGGAACCAATAACCCCAATTTAGAAGCATTTTAATCCTGCCAACCTGAGCCCTGCAAAATTATCTGTGTCAATATGTATCATTAAAGGGACAGAACAGCCAATTACAAAATGTATGTGTATTTAATCAGTTTGGGCCTCATATTCATGGTGTATTTATTTGCTTAACACCACAAAAAAAGAACAGGAGCTTTGAAATGAGATTTCTAATGTGGCTTATTTGACCTAAAACTTTGCATATTAGTTGTCGGTTCAATATTAATAAGCTCCAGTAAAAATGTCACAGAAATAAGCCCTGCCACCAAACCCCCACTCCTCTTGGGTGCAGCAATAGCTATAGTATGTATCAGCCCAAATCTATAAACTAAACCAATATAAAACATTCTCTGCTCTTTGTCTCAAATTCCTGTCGCCTTCTATAACAGGTTTTTAGTACCACTGCAATGTCCATGGCAATTAATGTGTTTAAACCATCTCTCCCGTATTCACTTTCTGCCTCTAGGTGTTTTTATAACTCTGATGGGGATTTTCTGATTGGTGAGTTACTTTTAATTAGCATTTCTTTAAAACCTTGTTCTAAGAACATAAAATATAGCACTTTATGGTTAATTGTCCCAAACTTTGCATCTCATAAAGAGTAAATATTTATCAACTGCTCATAAAGACCGGTATAATTTAAACACAGTCTAAAGATATCCTAAGACAAAGTAGTAATTTATTTTTCTTATCCATGACAAAATGGCAGAGCCTCCATCCATCATTAGTTCATTTCAAAAGGGAGGGGGGGGGGAGGAGGGGAGAGAGAGGCTCCTGCAGTCTCTTCCAGAGATGTGTTGTACTTTCAGGAGTACAGCACAGACATAGGGTTCAGGAAAGGCCTCAGAAGGTAACAGTTCCACTTTAAACCAGGATACTCAAAGTGTACTTGCTGTTACTGTTTTTCTTATAGATGAGGAAGTCCAGTCAGTCACAGTCAAACTCCAGAGAGTGCCTCTGGTAGACTGGCACTAGAGGCAGGTTTAACCCCACAATGTAAACAGTGCAGTTTCTCTGAATGGCTAAAATGACAAGGACACTGCGGTGAGATGAAGTAGTCTGGGTGTCCCTTTAAATACAAATGTCTTGACATATGTCATCAGTTGGAAAAAAAAATATCCTTGTTAATTAAATGGAGCAGCTGATATTTATTTTCTTGCTCTACTGCTTAGAGCTGCCAGGTACCAATTTGAGTCACTATTCTGACTCTTATTACTATGTATCTGATACAGCAGTCTGTTTATCTCCCTCTAGTGTATATTGACTATTATAGTGGTCTGTATTAGATTACAGTGACAGTGGGTGAGCATATAATCATAGCTTTAATATCTTGCTTAATTCTTACTTTACTGACATCTCAGCAAAAAAACAAACCCCAAAACATTCTTACAAACATAACAATTCAGTATGAGGCGGATGTTCTATAACTGACAAAGGCTTTTGATGTAGCCGTGAAACCTGAGGAATGTGGAGTTGAACAAAACACAAGTAACCAGAACAAGAGCTCTTTTCCATTTCAAGAAGAAGTTGGTGGAAAGAAGGATCAAACTGCAAAGACAAAGGAAAAAAATAGATGAGATTATATTCATAATGGACTGGCGTCATATCCTGTATTTAAAAAAAAAAAAAAAGTTAAATATGAACAGTGAGATGGAACATATTTGAAAGACAAAAAAAAAAATACCATAGCACAAAGAGAAATCCTGAAGAAAGACTGATGGAGTTAAGGAAAAATATCAATTTTCTGTCTTAAAGGGTTACTACCTACCAAAAAAAGCAAGGCAACGTTCTCCCAGCCGCGATCCTTCTCTGCGGATATGTGAAGGTGGAATGAGGGAAGGACATGGGTGAGACAGAGGCAGCTCCATGTCTCCATTGGACACCTGCCAGCAGTATGCTGATCTTAACTATAAAATGACTTGTCAGCCACCCAGAACTCTTGCTCTGGGCTGGCTAATGACTATGCCAGAAGTGGATTTACACTTATGCCAATTGAGAGGTTTCACTTTGTAGGTTCAAAGTTTAGTAGTGAAACGCGGCACATACAGACACCAGGAATCATGACCACTGCAAATTCGTGTTGCTTGGATCAACCCTTTAAAATTATAACTATACTATAACATCACCAACGCTAAAATAGATTTGCAAAACCTGACTTATCCTTGCACTAAAATTGCAGATCAATGCTCCAATAAACGAGTTCTAAAAGCGAAAATGACCCAGGCCAATGCAATGAGCCAATGAACCCATCAGGCACAGTGAAAACAGTCAGTCAAAGAGGTGGAGCATAGGCAATATAAAGTTGACTTTCATCCAAAGAACAGAGCACTAGTGCGAGAGAGATGATGTTGCACACAGTAAGGGACAGCTGGAAAAAGGGGATAGGGCAAATTGTAATAAAGTCTACATATGTCAAGATCATGTGCGCAAAGAACAGTTTGCCAGTACATAAGTATATGCAAGTTCCCAAACAATGGAAAACAGAAAAAAAATCAACATAAAATAAAGAAAATTATTTTCTCTTGCTGATTCATAGTACCAGGAAGAGAGACCTAATTTCCATTAAAGAGACCCTTCAAACAGCTAACACATGCTGAAGTGCTTTAAGATGGTTTAGGAGCCCCCCCCCTCCCCTTAGTCATGTTATATCAAAGTGCTTATTTCAGGGGAGCAGGGCCTGACTCGCAAGATAGCCACACATGTCTGCTAATGGCTCAGTCTTTCAGCCTCATGACAACTGACTAAATCCTCTCCAAACGATTCAGAAACCATTTTATTTAGCTGCAGACCGATACTATCAGAGCATGCAGTAGCCTGAACGACTTTACAAACCTGACTTGGCTAAGAGGCCTAGTGTGACCAGCAACTAGGCGAAGAGGCTGATCCCTGACCAGTGGGGGGTATCCTGGATCCTGCAAAAGCACCAACCTATTTGGAGTTACACAAACTGAATATTTGAGCGGCTGTAACACACTCTGCCACTGGGCAGCAAGGCTTGTGATGATGATGACGACGGGCCCAAAGTGGAAACTCCTGCAAACAGAAAGCACCACAATCTACTTTGAGAGGCTCTACAAAAGTGCAGAAGAATCAGAGGCAAAAGAAGGTGCCGGGAAAACCTATACACACACACTCCAAAAGCCTGGCTCCAAAGCGGGTTCTTACTAACAGACCATGATGACCCAGCCTAAGCTGCAGACTTATCAATCTTGCCACACAAGCATCCCACAATGCATTCACAGCTCCCCATACCTTTCCTGGGCTGGGGGCCCGCTTGGATAACTCTTCAAACCACAATCAATGCACCCATGGGGTAATCTACAACAAGGGGAACCAGTGGGACCGCAATCCTGCTTCTTGGCATAGAAGGCATTGGCTCCCAGTTACATTTTTTTTGAACTCAGTGGAATTTTAAATCCTCAACTTTCCATTAAAACCAACCAAAGGGACAGAAATCACTCTTATCAACTATGTCCACAAGCCTCTTTTTTTTTTTTTCCCTGCAGCACCCCCAGAGCCAGAAATGCATAACTTTTTTTTTTTTTTTTGGGTTAAACTTAATTCAATCCTCAAGACTTCTCCCTTTAGTGAATAACCCTGTAGAATACAAAGTGCATTCAAAGTGAATTTCAAATTAAAGGCCAAAATAGCCGAGCTGAAAGCACAGATTAGAGTGTCTCCGGTTCAGCAATTTTTACCTTCAATTTGAATTCTCATTTAAGTAAATAATCCCGTTTTGTTTAGTATTTGAATTCTATGTTTTGCTTCTCTTCAATATACAGGTATTGCAAGGATTAGAGATTTTAAAGTCTCATGTCATTTATTATTATATAGGTTTTAGAAATAATATTGGAGGTTTCATTTGAAGAACACCATGAAGCATGTCATCGACAGTATTTACCATTGTAAACTAACATTCTCCCGGGCCCTCTAGCACTGGAACAGCTATAGCCGTATTTACCTGCATTATTTAGCTGCCTGCGGCGACGAGGGAGGTGCTGCGACTGCACAGCGATGGGCAGATGCGGGAACATTTGGGTATGTTGGAATGGAGAATTCCACAATTGGGGCCCATTGCCTAAACGCACAGAGCGCCTACTGGCAAAGCCCCTTTGTCTACCAGCCCTTGAAGATAAACTGCGCAGAGAAGACACTCTTTTCACCTTCCTGAGTGATCTATAGTCAGAAACATGTCTGTACAACTTCCTACTAAAATTCTTTGAAAATGGCATCCCATTTGGTGCATGTCTACGCTTCTTGTAGCGGAGGTTGGGCAATTTAGCGTCTAAGTGGGCAGCCTTACGCCTCTCAACAGAAAGCAAAAGGTTTGCATTGGCCAAAAGGGTAAGCGTGCGCAGTGCCAACTCTCTCACTACATGGAGGTCAAGTGGAGTATTGGTAGCAATTGCTTGATCTACCAGTACTAACATCTGGGATGCGATGCCAGAGATCTCAAAAACGTTGTCCTGCACCATGCTAAGGCCCTGTTCCAAATCCAAAAGTGGGTCCTGATCTGCTTTGTTCAAGAAACTACCCAACATAGGGTCAAATTCGGGTGCATTACAGCCTCTGTCTGGTATGTTTGTGAGGAGGTCCTCGGAAGCAGCATCCTTCACAGGCTTTGTGGGTATGGAAGACGACTGACTGGACTGGGCCTCATCTAGTGAAGGTTCACATTTAGGGCTGCCGGCAGCAGAGGGTTTCTCCTCATCAGATGCCCCTGTGGCAGGTGTCTGGGAAGGCAGAGCCGCCAAAGCACGTGGAAGCATTTCACAGATTGCAGAGAAGAGCCAAGCTTTAAACTCCTCAGACATGTTAACCTGGGTTGCTTGGTCCATGACTGTGTGGAAAAATAAATCAAATAACCGTATTTATAAATGTTAAACCATATTCAAATCTATATTAAACACTTCAAACCAAATACAGTATACATTTAGTCACCAATAGAGGGTAACCCAAATAATGAGCAAAGTAGCAGCAGCTAGGGAGTCCCCAAATACAGGCACAACAGTGAGCAGATGACAAAGGGTCAGGTAGAGACATAACAGGGGCTCACTCTACATTAAACAGAAACTCTGCGAGGGACCATGAATGAATAATGGGGTTCACTTACCTATAGAGGTTGGTACTCGGTGAGGGACCATGAATGAATAATGGGGGGTCACTTACCTATAGAGGTTGGTACTCGGTGAGGGGCCCTGTATTAATAATGGGGGGTCACTTACCTATAGAGGTAGGTACTCAGTGAGGGGCCCTGTATTAATAATGGGGGTCACTTACCTATAGAGGTAGGTACTCGGTGAGGGGCCCTGTATTAATAATGGGGGGTCACTTACCTATAGAGGTAGGTACTCGGTGAGGGGCCCTGTATTAATAATGGGGGTCACTTACCTATAGAGGTAGGTACTCGGTGAGGGGCCCTGTATTAATAATGGGGGTCACTTACCTATAGAGGTAGGTACTCACTTAGGTACTCGGTGAGGGGCCCTGTGTTAGGTCACTTACCTATAGAGGTAGGTACTAGGTGAGGGGCCCTGTTAATAATGGGGGTCACTTACCTATAGAGGTAGGTACTCGGTGAGGGGCCCTGTATTAATAATGGGGGTCACTTACCTATAGAGGTAGGTACTCGGTGAGGGGCCCTGTGTACCTTAATAATGGGGGTCACTTACCTATAGAGGTAGGTACTCGGTGAGGGGCCCTGTATTAATAATGGGGGTCACTTACCTATAGAGGTAGGTACTCGGTGAGGGGCCCTGTATTAATAATGGGGGTCACTTACCTATAGAGGTAGGTACTCTGTGAGGGGCCCTGTATTAATAATGGGGGTCACTTACCTATAGAGGTAGGTACTCTGTGAGGGGCCCTGTATTAATAATGGGGGTCACTTACCTATAGAGGTAGGTACTCTGTGAGGGGCCCTGTATTAATAATGGGGGTCACTTACCTATAGAGGTAGGTACTCTGTGAGGGGCCCTGTATTAATAATGGGGGTCACTTACCTATAGAGGTAGGTACTCTGTGAGGGGCCCTGTATTAATAATGGGGGTCACTTACCTATAGAGGTAGGTACTCTGTGAGGGGCCCTGTATTAATAATGGGGGTCACTTACCTATAGAGGTAGGTACTCTGTGAGGGGCCCTGTATTAATAATGGGGGTCACTTACCTATAGAGGTAGGTACTCTGTGAGGGGCCCTGTATTAATAATGGGGGTCACTTACCTATAGAGGTAGGTACTCAGTGAGGGGCCCTGTATTAATAATGGGGGTCACTGAGCTGAAAGCCAGGCTGACACTGAGCTCACGGTTCCACCTCCCACAGAGTTTCCTCAGTAAAAGCGCGGGAACAGCCGAACAAAATGGCCGCCGCGGGAAAAACCGCGCGAAACGGACAGTGAGCACGACAAGCGGCCAGACCGCGCTATGGTCACGTGTAGGATGGCATTAAAAAGCTTCCCGACAGAAAGTGGAAGTTTAACGGCCGCAATCCCGGGAGTAGAAAGATGGCCGCCTATTTACCAGAAGCCGCGGACTGGGAGCACCAAAATGGCCGCCCATCTACTGAAAACCACCGCAGACTGGGAGCACCAAGATGGCCGCCCATATACTGAAAACCACCGCAGACCGGGAGCACCAAGATGGCCGCCTCAAAGTCTCGCGAGAACGTAGTTGTCAGAAGATTTATTATAATTTATTGATTTATATAACCCATGCTATAGGTTTATTATTATAATTTATTGATTTATATAACCCATGTTATAGGTTTATTATTATAATATATTGATCTATAGAGCCCATGCTATAGGTTTATTATATTATATTGATCTATAGAGCCCATGTTATAGGTTTATTATAATATATTGATTTATATAACCCATGCTATAGGTTTATTATAATATATTGATTTATATAACCCATGCTATAGGTTTATTATTATAATATATTGATTTATATAACCATGCTATAGATTTATTATTATAATATATTGATTTATATAACCCATGCTATAGGTTTATTATAATATATTGATTTATATAACCCATGCTATAGGTTTATTATAATATATTGATCTATAGAGCCCATGCTATAGGTTTATTATAATATATTGATTTATATAACCCATGCTATAGGTTTATTATAATATATTGATTTATATAACCATGCTATAGGTTTATTATAATATATTGATTTATATAACCATGCTATAGGTTTATTATTATAATATATTGATTTATATAACCCATGCTATAGATTTATTATTATAATATATTGATTTATATAACCCATGCTATAGGTTTATTATAATATATTGATCTATAGAGCCCATGCTATAGGTTTATTATTATAATATATTGATTTATATAACCATGCTATAGGTTTATTATAATATATTGATTTATATAACCATGCTATAGGTTTATTATAATATATTGATTTATATAACCATGCTATAGGTTTATTATTATAATATATTGATTTATATAACCCATGTCTTACTGGGTGCTGTTTAGCTGATAATTCCCTAATTTGCTATCCTTAAACACAGTTGAGAGATCAACATTAGAGAAAGGACTTTGTCTTAATTTTGCTCCGTCAGCTGTTTAGTACGGAACTCTCCAATCTGATATCCTAACATTGGATTGCCATAATTAATTTTCATAACAATTTTTCTTTCTTTTGATTTTTTTTTTATTTTTTTTTGGGGTTGATTGAATAGATACGTCCCTAACTCGCTATCCTTATTTTAAAAAAAAATGGATCTGAAATTATTCGTTCCAATATGTACTGAATTTGTTCTTTCATTTTGTTTTGGCTAGTTATGAATTTGTACGTTCTGAGCTTTTAAATTGCCAAATTTGTCTGAATTCAACAAAGTGGATTGCACAGGCCTACTAGCTACTGTTTCAGTAAATATGACACTTTTACCCTTCTAGGGTATTCCCAGTCTGGCCCCAGATTATGTACATACTTCCCAATGTTCCAAACAGAAAAATAGTAACATTTTGATTTTAGGGATGTACCACCTAACTCCCTGTCTCCTTCCTACAGTGCCTCAGCAAGGAAACCTTCTCATCCTTACTGAGTTTGGGAAGATTCTGGTGGAACCCAATGAGATCTGTGTGATACAGGTAACAAGGAATGCCAGAGACATTAATGTGATTAAACCTGAATTTTGCACTCCATGAACGTGTTCATTCTCTCAGTCAATCTCTCATCTCCCCATATTGTCCCAGTCCAACACATCCCCCATTTAGCCATGGTCATCCCTTCCACATGCCCTTCATTGTTTTTATGTCCATCTCCCTGTATGTGCCTTTTTCTATATACCAGTCAACCGATATACTCCCAGTTACCCTTTACATACCTGGTTTATATACCAGTCAACCAACATACTCCCAGTTACCCTTTACATACCCTGGCTCATATACCAGTCACCCAATAAACTCCCAGTTACCTTTTACATGCCTGGTTTATATACCAGTTACCCTTTACATCCCTGGTTTATATACCGGTTACCCTTTACATGCCTGGTTTATATACCAGTTACACATTATACACCTGGTTTATATACCAGTTAGCCGTTATACTCATAGAAACATAGAAACATAGAATGTGACGGCAGATAAGAACCATTCGGCCCATCTAGTCTGCCCAATTTTCTAAATACTTTCATTAGTCCCTGGCCTTATCTTATAGTTAGGATAGCCTTATGCCTATGTCACGCATGCTTAAACTCCTTTACTGTGTTATCCTCTACCACTTCAGCTGGAAGGCTATTCCATGCATCCACTACCCTCTCAGTAAAGTAATACTTCCTGATATTATTTTTAAACCTTTGTCCCTCTAAATTAAGACTACTCCTGGTTTATATACCAGTTACCCTTTATATACGTGGTTTATATACCAGTTACACGTTATACACCTGGTTTATATACCAGTTAGCCGTTATATGCCCGGTTTATATACCAGTTACCCGTTATATACCTGGTTTATATACCGGTTACCCTTTACATGCCTGGTTTATATACCAGTCACTCAATATACTCCCAGTTACCCCTTACATACCTGGTTTATATACCAGTCAACCAATATACTTCCAGTTACCCGTTATACGCCTGGTTTATATACCAGTTACCCTTTATATACTTGGTTTACATACCAGTTACACGTTATACACCTGATTTTATATACCAGTTAGCCGTTATACGCCTGGTTTATATACCAGTTAGCCGTTATATACCTGGTTTATATACCGGTTACCCTTTATACGCCTGGTTTATATACCGGTTACCCTTTATACGCCTGGTTTATATACCAGTTACCCGTTATATTCCTGGTTTATATACCAGTTACCCATTATATGCCTAGTCTATATACCAGTTACCCTTTATATACCAGTTAACCTTTACATGCCTGGTTTATATACCAGTTACCCTTTATACGCCTGGTTTATATACCAGTTACCCTTTATACGCCTGGTTTATATACCAGTTACCCGTTATATTCCTGGTTTATATACCAGTTACCCATTATATGCCTAGTCTATATACCAGTTACCCTTTATATACCAGTTAACCTTTACATGCCTGGTTTATATACCAGTTACCCATTATATGCCTAGTCTATATACCAGTTACCCTTTATATACCAGTTAACCTTTACATGCCTGGTTTATATACCAGTTACCCTCTATACTCCCAGTCACATTTTCTACACCCTGGCTTTTACTCAGTCTCCCTTAATAATGCCTTCCTTATACTCCCAGCAGCCCTCTGTACTCCCAGTCGTGTTTTACACTCCCTGGCTTGTACATGCAGTCGCCCTCTGTACTTTCAGTTTCCCTTTATACGCCTTCCATGTAGCATGGAAGAAGGGTGTGACTGCGCGTATAAGGAGCCCTTCAACTTTCTGTTCCCAGCTGCATTATTTCCTAAATCTCTGCCCCTTGCATTACGGGGGTCCTGACTGTGAAAGTCCAAGTCAGATGATGTCCCTATCGGCCCCTGTAATATACTTTATTGGGCCTTGGGCTCATTTTTTAGGCTTACAGGATCCTGAGGAAGCCCCATTAGGATTGAAACGTTGTACTCCTCCTTTTATTACAGGTGAATACTGTGAAGAAAGAAAGCCGCTCACTGGAAATACATTTTTTGTGATTTTATTCATTTTCTAATCTTTTATACCTGTTGAAATTTAGGAGTTAACTAGCTTTTTTTTTTACTTTTTGAATGATATCCTGTAGATTATGTTTGTATAGCTTGAATGTTAATATGGGAATCTCATAGATTATTAAAGTGTGCGTGTCCGATGATGGTATATTTGAATGGAGACTTGTATTTCTCTCTGACAGCAAGGAATGCGTTTTAGTGTGGAGGTTTTTGGGGAGACCCGAGGCTATGTTCTGGAGGTGTATGGAGTCCACTTCGAGTTGCCAGACCTGGGGCCGATTGGTAAGTGTTACCAGTACCAGTTGTTGGTCATATTATTGCATCCGTGCACAGAGCGAACAAGGAATAGAGGGGCCAATGAAAGTAACATTTTGGGACTCCACTGATGTCTTACTAGCCATAAACCCACATAATTGCCCTGAGCATACAAGTAGCCCCTCTCCTTTACCTCCAGCAGGGAGAATGGGTATGAGTAGAACTGGAGACTGGTAATGTAGCAGGGAGTGAGGTAGAGGTGGGACATACCTACCAAACTTTAATCTCCCATAATGGCATGGAGAGCAAATCTTAAAATAAGTGCCCTCCAGCCATGTTGGTGGATGTACAGAGGCAACACATCCTCTGCAATTGTGAGCAGAATAGTTTTTTTATTTTTTTATTGTGTCCTCATGTGTCACAAAATAGTCCAGGGATCACTCAGCCCTGATTTGTAGTGGCTGAGAGGGCTCTTGGTAAAGAAACGCTCGTCACATACCATGCGTATTACAAATTGTTAGCTATCCTGCTATCTGTATATTTATATGGAACAGGATGCCAATTTTAGGAATACAGCTTCCTAAAAATACCATTGAAATGTAAAAATAAAGTTACTAAGATTCGCATACAGTAAGTGCATTTACACTTTACAGTTCATTACAGCCAGTTATTCCCGTCTTCATGGTATCCGTGCAGTGTACTCCATTGATTCCTCCCCAGCATGATAGAATGCAGCCATGAAGTTTGACCTATACAGCCTGCTGTAAATTCATTCTGAACTGATGTAAGGGGATAAAAGGAGCCATAATGGAGTATTTAACTTCAATGGTGGTTAAGGGGGAAGGGATGAGGACTTGTATCTTCCTATATTTTGCTACATTTTGTATGTAAAGCAAATGCGAGCCTGTGTATGCATGTTATTAGGAGGGAATCCAGCTGGTTACCTCCACTAGTAATGAATGAAGAGACCCATTTCCCCCCCAGTAACTGGACACATCCCCTTAATACTAGGAGCAACACTAAGGTTGAGGCTAATTCTTTATGGAAGAGTAGCTCAGGTTGACCGCCCCCGTCTACCACCTATTCTATATCTAGTATAAAATTACCCATTAAGATTTCTTTCTCTTCAACTGTATTGACTTCAATTTTATTGGCCACACTCTGCTTTATACTTTCCCCATGCAAGGGGTGGATCACACATAAAAACAATGTCCCCTCCCTGGGTCCCACCCCCTCCCAGGTGTTGTATAACTGATCCCAGCTACAGAAAGCCCGCCAAACCGCCATTGTCCCCACCAATCTCAGGGACCCTCAGAACGGTAACCGCCACGAACAGCCTCCATTTGCAGGGTCCCTGGGTGAAACCAGGCAAGGGAAGCATCTCCATTCAGGATACAAATGCTCCCTCTGGCCGACATTCGTCTACACGAACGGCGGCCACCTCGGGAAGCACTCATTAATTAATTACTTCCCTTGCGGTTTCACACTTCTGTTGCGAGTTGCCAACGTTCTAATTGATTGGTGCGAACATTCCAAAGAGCACTGGGGAGGTCCTCATTTGGAAACCGAATGAGGTGGGAGCAATCTACCAATGCTCTCCCTGGATGGCGTTCGTCTAATGAACGGGCTCCCACCCAGGGGAGGCACGCTCCGATGCTTCCCTTGCGGTTTCCTTTTTTTAACACCTCGTTAACGAGGTGCGAACATTCTAAAACAACATTTTAAATGAGGTTTCAAGGTGGTCCACGTTCGGGAGGTGAATGGATTCCATTCGTGGCGGCCCTTCCGAACAGGGAGCAGGCAGTTTAGACGAACACACAGAGTAAACTACAGGAGCATGATAGTGAAATACACGAAAAGGGAGGGAGAACCCCTGACCCCCAGACAGTACACACACACAACAGGGAAATTAACAGTTTAGCGGCAGTACCGCTACAGAACCGGTAGGTAGTTGTGTTTGTTTTCTTTATCTTTAGAATACAAAGAGTACCAACCTTTTTAGGCTGTTCATTGGTATATTGTAAAACTCACACAAATGGAAAATGAGTTTGAAAACATGGCTACTTTCCCTAATGTGACTGGGTACGTTTTACAAAGAATAGTAATACGCTATGACCATGTCAATGTACTGTAAATACATAATCACTTTTCCTATTAAGCCTCCACATCAGTCATTGGACCATTTTACCCAGAAACCCAAACAGATGTTCAAGAATGGGTGACTGGCTCACTGTCTTTGCATTAGACCTCTACCTAATTATTGGCTTGTATGATAAAATAATGAAAACTGTGGGTAATGCTTGGCCAATACTCTGTTCTCTCCAAGGGGCCAACGGACTGGCTAATCCCCGTGATTTCCTTACCCCTGTGGCGTGGTATGAAGAAAGGACTGTACCCAGTGGCTACTCTGTGATCAGCAAATACCAGGGCAAGCTGTTCGTAGCCCTTCAGGTAAGATGCCATGTTAAATATTAGATTGACCTCCAGGTAAGCTACCATGTTAAATATTAGATTGGCCTCCAGGTAAGATGCCATGTTGGTTATTAGACTGACGTAGTTAGTGTCTGTGCAGAGCTGTGGAGAGCCATGCATCCAGTACCAAGTTAAATACCATGATTACAGCCCCCTCCTGCTCTCTGTATTACTGATTCATTCATAGTATATATTATAACTCCTATCTGTTATACGCAGACAGGGCCGGATTAACATAGGGGCTGATGGAGCTGCAGCTCCAGGCCCAGGCCCATGGAATAGGCACATTTAAAAAAAAAATAAAAAAAAAATAAATATATATATATATATATATATATATATATATATATATATATATATATATATACTACTCTTAGGGTTGCCACTCAACTGGTATTTTACCAGCACAGACGGTATTTGAGGCTTCCTGGCCGTGCCGGTATTGCAGTAATACCGGCAATACAAATGCAGATATTTTTCTCAGTATAAACGGAGATTACGCTGCAATACCAGCACCAGCCAGTAGGGGGCACTGTGTGTGGAGAGAGGCAGGAATAGAAAGTTCCAGCATATCACTCACTAATCGGCGGGCGAGCAGCTACACAGCACAGAGAGTTCAGAAAACAGCTCCTAGCCTGCAGAAACAGCCTTCAGCTCAGGGAAGTGAGGGCTGAGGGGAAAGGCAGCAGGGAGACATGGGGACAGTGGGACACTGAGACACTAGGGGACACTGTGAGACATGGGGATGCTGAGACACATTGGGAGACACATTGGGACACAGTGTCTCCATGTCTCCCAGCCAGTGTCCCTAGTGCCTCAGTGTCCCCGTGGCTCCTAGTGTCTCCAATGTCTCCAAATGTCTTTGTCCACATGTCTCCCTAGTGGCTCAATGTCTCTGTGTCCCTATGTCCCCCAGTGTCCCCATGCTTCCCAGCTAGTGTCCCTAGTGTCTATGTCCCCATGTATCCCAGGGTCCCCTAGTCTCCCAGTGTCTGTGTTCCCATGTCTCTGTGTCCCCAAATATCTCAGTGTCTGTGTCCCTAGTATAGGTAATGGAAATGCACACAATCCCTCGTCCTGGAATCCTGGGTGCAATAGCTTGACAAAGGCCCTAAGGGGTCGAAACGTTGTTTTTTTGGTGCTTGGGTCCAATAAAATTGCCTATCTGTTGGAATACCTTGGAGTGCCTGGATTATTTTCTACATTTAAATCTGTGTCCCTAGTGTCTGTGTCCCCACTTCTCCCAGTGTCCCAAATGTCTGTATCCACAAGTGCCCCCATGTATCCCAGTGTACCCAAGTGTCCCTATGTCTCCGAGTGTCCCAGGTGTCTGTGTCCCCGGGTCTCAGCAGTGTCCCCATGTCTCACTGTGTCCCCGTGTCTCTCAGTGTCCCCTAGTATCCTAGTGACACGGGAAACACTGAGACATGGGGAGAAATTAAGACACTGGGAGACTAGGGAACTGGGCGACATGGGGACACTGACACTGTGATACATGGGGACACTGATGCCAGGCTGGCCTTAAATTCTTTGGACAGACATGCCCCCTTTTTGGGCATGTTCACCCCTTTTGGCAGTTCTGGTCACGTGATTCACATCAGTGGCCCACCCTTTTACCCCGCCCTTTGACTTCCTGCTTCACTGGACACTGCTGTTAAGGGGTATGGATTTACTTGAAAGATGAAAGCAGAAATTAGAGAGATTAGCATAGAGAATGTGTTTTCCTATAGCTGCATCCTTTGCGTTTCCCTCCAACACCATCTCCATCAGATACATGACGCTTGGGAGGTATGACCGTTTTAGTGTTTTTAGTTGATAATATTCTGTAATTAGGCCCATTATAATCTTCACGGTGCTCACAGCAAAGTCCATGCGCCCTGGTGTAGCCATTGCTGACTTTGTTATCTTCCCTCCACGTTGGGTAGTAGGGAATAACACTTTCCGGCCTCCTTATTACCACAGTAAGTACTCCTCTCACGCTCTTAACAATCACATATTGTCAGCACCAGGCCCACTGGGCTCTTAATCTGGCCCTGTACGCAGATAGTAATTCTAAACCATATTTCCTCCTGTGTCTATTTGCAGGATTTCTCCCCATTTAACGTGGTTGCCTGGCATGGAAACTACGCTCCTTACAAGTATAATCTGGATAACTTCATGGTGATTAACTGTGTGGCATTTGATCATGCGGTAAGTTTTCCAAATCATCAGAATCCCAGCTATTGTTGTGCCCCTGGTTGGACTGGAGTGATTAGCCCAGGACAGCCGTCAGCCCCCAGAGAGTGTGCCCCAGATTCTATGGCCACACTGCCAGGCCCTGCGTAACCAACCCTCCGAGAGTGACCCCAAGATTCTATAGGTTCAATGCCTGGCTCTATGTAATCAGCCCCCAGAGAGTGATCCCCAGATTCTATGGCTGCACTGCCAGGCCCTGTGTAATCAGCCCCCAGAGAGTGATCCCCAGATTCTATGGCCACACTGCCTGACCCTGTGTAACCAGCCCCCAGAGAGTGATCCCCAGATTCTATGGTCGCACTGCCAGGCCCTGTGTAATCCACTCCCAGAGAGTGATCCCCAGATTCTATGGTCGCACTGCCTGGCTCTGATAATCGGCCCTGTACCAGAGTTACTTTCCAGCCCATTTTTAAAGGATAACTGGTATGTCTTGTATACAGGACTAGGGTAAATGACAGAAAACCCAAACTAAATCTTAACCAGGTTAACCTTTGTATTATGTTTTTAAAGTATAACTAATATCCCTCATGAGGTCATGATAACTGAGAGCCTGGGCATGAAAAATCCATAGAAATAGCTCGTCAAAGATTCAGGACTCAATTTCCACCAGAATCTGGATAAAGAGAACCTTAAAAACTGTGAATGCCAACAGGCAAAACATAGGGTCTGTAACGTGTTCCTGTCTGTGTAGGACCCCTCAATCTTCACGGTGCTCACAGCAAAGTCCATGCGCCCTGGTGTAGCCATTGCTGACTTTGTTATCTTCCCTCCACGTTGGGTAGTAGGGAATAACACTTTCCGGCCTCCTTATTACCACAGTAAGTACTCCTCTCACGCTCTTAACAATCACATATGTAAATCTAGCATTGTATAAAGTTCACACTGAAACAGTCATTTATCTGCATAAAACACCACTTTGTGATAGCCGGCAGAGACAGGAGAGCAAATCAACCTCTGAATTCCTGGCAATCCTCACTTTAGGGAATAGCCCTCACAGTGAATTTCAAAGATTTAATACAAATTTGAAATATAAGCGAGTGCAGGTGACTCCTGATGTCTCAGGCCTTCTTAAGGGCTACTTCTAATGTTGTTGAGTAAGTTCAGCTTCATCAAGATATCAGATAAATGTAAAGTGATATTATCCCAGAAGGCTTATAATCTATTATTGCGATAAAGTGTTTCCTAATAAAAGAAAACCATAGAAATAGCCATGATTGAAATCTATGAATGCAAATAATAGGAAACCGAGTATGGATGGGTTACCCAAATGAAATTGGGATATAAAAGGTGTGATGTATCAGTGGACGGATTATATTACTGCACTTTCCTCCCCCAGGAAACTGTATGAGCGAATTTATGGGGCTCATAAAAGGTCACTATGAAGCAAAGGAAGAGGGGTTCCAGCCGGGGGGCAGCAGCCTGCACAGCGCAATGACCCCACATGGGCCGGACATGGAATGCTTCGAGAAAGCTAGCACAGTTAAATTGGAGCCTGAGAGAGTGGCCGAAGGGGCCATGGTGAGTGGTATTTGGCAAATTATTTTGAGAATTCCTTTTTAGCTAACTTAGATTTCTATTACATCCAGTGTAAGGAGATTATGGAAATAAAGTATAATGTAAACGTTATCCTTAAATGTGAAATCTTTATCAAATCTATTCTGAGACTTCACTACGTTATTCCACCAGGCTTTTGTTTTGTCATATTTTTACATAACCAGTCCTAGATTTGGCCTGCTAACCCCCCTTATATCTGACTTTGCCCCTTTGTGTATCATTTATGGAGAGTCCACAACTTTCTAGGCCTCACTTTATCTCCTTTCTCTCTCGTCCTTTTATATTCCTGTCTTCGCAGGCCTTCATGTTTGAGTCTTCACTGAGTATGGCTGTGACCAAGTGGGGACTACAGACCTCTAACCGTTTGGACAAGGATTACTACCGCTGCTGGGAACCACTCAAGAGCCATTTCCATCCGGACCAAAAGTAGACCTGTTTGTGAAGCCCATTACAACATGTCGCTCTTATACATTATTTGGATGAGTTCTCTCTCTGCCATCATTTCAGCCCAAGGTTTCAGAAAATACCCCGATCTACTCAAACTTCCATTACCTGTAGGACATAGTTTGTGTACTTCTCCCTAACAATGTTACACAATGTGGCTTGTAATCGTGGTTTCTCCTTGTTATGACCTAAAGCTTCATTATATTATTGATGACATTTATTCAGATCCAATTGTGACATAAGAGACCAATTTCCCATTGTGGACTTTCTCCAATTACTCCACCAGGAGGCAGTGTCTGCCATCCAGATCAGATATGGGTGGATGCATTTAAACCACAATAAATACCTTTCACCATTTCTGTGTTCCAGCTTAGTACATGCAGCCAACTTGGACTTGTTACAGCCTGGATACTATAGAGTCTAGACCAGTGGTTCCCAAACCAGTCCCCATGGCCCACCAACAGTCCAGGATTTATGTATTTCCCTGTTTTATTCCAATAGAGATACAGACAAAACCTGGACTGTTGGTGGGTCTTGAGGACTGGTTTGGGAAATGCTGGTCTAGACCGTACAATAACTTTAATTTGCAGTTCAATCAGGTCCAAGACACGTTAAAATGCATTATATTGTTTTTATCATGCAAAGAATATAAGAAAGCATGCACGACAAATCGGTAAATTAAAAGAACACTATAATGTGAGGAATAGAACGATGTTTGACGCAATAGTGTTAAATCAACTATTTAGGTCACGGCCCTCCTTAGATTGCTGTAAAAAGGTGGTTTTACTCACTTTTTTTTTTTTTTTTTACTTGTGCCTTCCTGGGGGGGTGGGGGTTGTAATACAGAGAAGGGCGATGGAACATGGAGAAGATACTTAAGCATATAAAAGTGACCAGAGATAGAATTTCAACCTATTCACAGACTCATAAGAATCCGAGAAAGGGGAAGAGACAGGAAAGAATGGGAGAAACTTAAAATGGAGTCACAGAATCTGGGTCTATTAAGCAATGAATAAATAGGAGTCATTGGAGGCTTTCCACTGATTCAGTAATTGTAAATGCAAACAATTATAGGGTCTTCCAATACTGAGTGATTTTAGTATGCGCTCTCTCTGCACTTTGAATAGGAGTCATATTAACCAATAACGCTGATAGTAGTGTATGTTACATGATTGGCTGGTCTTTTTCGCAGGGGACATGGGCTCACTAGCAAATGCCCCCATGGAATGTGCAACTTAAAACTCTGCCAAAGGATTAGACGTCAACTTTACCCCGAGCTGCCACAGGGGGATAAATTATTATAGACGGGGTAAACAAAGGGAATTGAATCAAAACGAAAGATACTAATATGAAGCCAGAGTCAAATGAGGTCTGAAATATAAGGCCATTCCAAAATCATGCTAATTACCAACATTTTAATTACATGTAGCTTTAAATGATATGGCTAAGAGTGGCTACTGATTTTACAAAACTCAAAGAAGGGCAAGAGTGCAATCTGTCTCAAAAGAACAAGCCTATTCAGTTCACAATTCTCCAAAACTGGTAATTAACTGCCCCTGAAATACAATTGCTAAATAACACCAGCACTACACTGTGCATATTAAACGGAATCCTTTGCTTTTTTACACAAATTAAAGGGTTACTCCGGGACCATTACCACTTCAGTGATTAAGTGGCGATAGTACTTGGAGTCTATATGTGCATTTTACTATGAAACGCTGCACACACAGACATATAGCCCTTTCCTAGGAAGGTATAACTCCAACAAGAGTTCCAGGCTGGCTAATGTCAGGTCTTTCGTAAGCATGCTGAACACCCTACGTCCTCCCTGACACCTCTCCCAAGAGGAGTACCATCACCAAACAAGGATCTTGCTGTCTGGAAGGCCTTGCCGAGTGTCAAATCGATTTTTGTGTTTAAAATTTAAAATTTGCAAATGCCTCATGAATATGTAGAATTGCACTTACCCCCTAATGAAAAATACCAATTGTTTAAAGATGTGAGTAAAGGCAGAGAAAAATTAAAACCCAAGGACCATTTTACTAGACTAGTATTTGTGAAGAATAAACAAAGGATTTCAACTCCAACTAAAAGTATCGAGTCTGAAAAATTGGAGAATTTCAATTTAGACCGAAAGGAAAAAAAAACATTAAAAAAAAAACAAACATTGCTCCACAATTCCCACGTTTATTAAATAAAGTTTCTGGTTTCAAGTAGCTGTGATGCAACATTTGACTGGAATCTTTTATCAAGTAATGCTATGCAAACACAAAATTTCCAAAATTAAACTTTGTAGAAGCACAGAAACCCTACAAGTCCCATGTGTGTATTTATGCAGTTGTAATCAAAATTATTCAACCCCCCCCCCATGCAAATCAGGATGATTGTCAAAATGTACAGACTTTCAGTTGTTTGCAATTAATAAAACAAAAGCAATTGAAATAGGACTTGAATGAAAAAGCAAAACGTGTTTCTTCAAGCACACCAGATTCAACTAATCAAGGGTTTCATTAGTTGCACCAGGTCTGCTTGAGCTGGAACACTTTAAATACCTAAACTGGCTAGGGGTTTGTTGAGTGTCACGTTTGACTGCATGTTAGAGATATGGCTAAGTCAAAAGAATGGTCGACAAAGGGAAGGGAAGTTAATCATCGCCCCTTCAGAAGCAAGAAATAGGATACAAAAAGATAGCAAAGGCCCTGAATGTCCCTAGAGACACAATTGAAAGCATAGCAAAAGTTATCAATGGCTGCAACTAGATTTCTGAAAAAACAGGTTATGAAAAACCTTCAAGTGACTGCAAAAACCTGCGGCAAGACTTTGTGGCAACAGGCAGTGAGGTTTCAGTGAGCACAGGAAGGCCTTTAAGGAACACAAAGTTTCCATGCCAGAACTTCAAGAAGTACACCACTACCCAGAAGCACAAAAAGTCTGCTCCAATATGCTCAAAATCATATAAATAAGCTACAGACGTTTTGGGATTAAAGGAAGGATGAAGCATACGCTGAAAAGAACACTCTGCCTACAGTTAAGCATGGTGATGGCTCGATGATGCTCAGGGGCTGATTTTGATCCCCTGGCATTGGAAACCTGCAGCGTGTGGAAGGCAAGATGGTTTAAATTATTAGGACAGGGCTCGACAAATCTCAGGTCGCCATGGCATCTAGGAATTTTGCCCTGGCGCCTAGGCTATGTGAGCCCATTACCTTCAAGGCAGGCAGCTGGGTGCGCGAATAGTAGGGGCACGGCGAGGAAGCCGTAATATGACGTCATTCCGGCCCTGGCCTCACTATGCTGCTCACGAGGGAGCAGAACAGGAACATGAAAGCTCCCTCGCCGCCCACCTTCATAATCCCACTGCCGGTTGCCCACTAGACCCCACAGGTATTTAAACAAGCAATAATGTGTGTCTACGTATGTCTGTGTAGATGACCTGACCCCTTCCGTTTTCAAGGGAACAGTGCTTTTACTCACCATTTGTTCCCACACCGTGCTGGTCTCCCCTCGACTCTGCCCTACATTCAAAATTATGAAGCATGATGATCTGAGCCAATCCAATGTTTTCCCATAGGACTGGCTGCAAAACGCTGCACCAATCAGCATCCAGCGCATCAATGCATCTCTATGGGGAACATCCAGCGCCTCCATGCAGAGCGTAGAGATGCTGAATGTAGGTACTGCGCACTGTGCAGCACTGACACAGGAAGCACCTCTAAGGACAGTCTGAGTGACTGTCACTAGGAAGCAATGTAAACACCACCTTTTCTCTGAAAAGGCAGTGTTTACAATGAAAAGCCTTCAGCGACAGGCTAGACACCAGAACCAATACATTAAGACTTTTACTGGTCCTGGTGACTATAGTGTCCCTTTAAGAAAGAAAACAAATAGCTGGCTCCTAGATTCAAAGCAAGTTAGGAAATCCTATAGTCATGTCGTCTGTGAGGGCGTCATTGGACCTTCCAACAAGACAATGATCTCAAGCATACCTCAAATTCCACCAAGGCTTGGTTGCAGAAGTAGTTATGGAATATTCTACAATGGCCATCAGTCACCCGACTTGAACCCCCATAGAAAATCTCAGGTGGGGTTTGAAGAAGGGGATTCCTCAGGAACATTTCCAGAAGCTGGTGTCTGGCTATTCATCTCATTTGCAGCAGGTCACACCAGTAAAAGGGTGTTCTCCTAAGTACTAAAGATACTTGCCATAAACAGACTGAATACTTATGAGACTGGAGAAGTCATTATAAATTGAATTTGGGGAAACCATTTGTAGTATATTGTGTTGAGCTATTTCAATTGATTTTGTTTGATGTGTTCACTGCAAACAGCTGAAAGTCTAATTTTTTTACAAAAATATCTGATTTTCAATGGGGGTTGAATAATATTGATTACAAATGTAAGTAAGAGTCCAAGTATTTTTATTTTGTATAATAAAGCTATGTTTGGTTAGCAAGAATCAACTCAACGAGTGAGAGACATTTGATAACATAGTATTTTATTGGTTGAGGCAATTTATCACATTTTATACAATCCTGATGGCTCAGGGAGGGGGGGCAGAGAGATACGTTTGGCCACAAGGAATCAGTAAGCTATTTTGAACGTCCGATCTATTTTTCCCTCTTGGATCAGTTTCTCTCTGCGGTCCTATGAGTGAAGAGAAAAGAAATGACACTGAATATTGGAAATTCAACAAGAAAATGGTCAAAAACAGGCATTTTGAGGTATGAGCTGGGGGTTCTGTTACACGGGAACCTGTTTACATGACAGCTTTGCAAAGAACTCAAGAGATATTACGCAGGAGCTTGTAATGCTGGAAGGGGCCATTGCTAAAGACTTTGGCTTCCATCAATTTGTGGCCAGCCAGATAGTGAACACATTAAAAAAAAAGCACTACTGTTAGCGTTATAGGAGTGTTCTCCTAAATACAAAGAACAGCAGATTATCTGATCATCTCAAGGCAACCAGTGAATCATAATGATGATCATGGGAAAGTATCAAGGAGGAAAACACTACCAGAATGATCCAGATATTGGGTTCTTTTGCATCCTACTATTCAGGTATGATTTCAGTACAAGCTCCCCAAGTGACGACCACTACAGCCTGCGTTAGTGGTTATGGTGCCAGCAATCTCCTGGCGCTGTTCCACTCTAAGCTCTCCAACAGTCCACACCCCTTTAGTGAAAGCTCCAACGTGTAAGTTCCCTGTCAGCAGTGATGTCGATTCGGACCATGTTTGGAGAGAATGGATATACCAGTTGTAAAAAGTAAAGTTGCACTTTTGATAAAGCCGACATGGAGGCTGGACCAGAGGTGTCCAGATGATCTAGGTTAGTGTCGAACCATTGATGATTTGATAACTTACTGATAGATGGTGATGGGTCAATCTTGGCACCAAAACCACTACAGCTTAAGTTTGGGGGGGTCTTTCACTGTGTGGGATGGTACCAGGGTAACGGGTGGTATAGTGTGTATGTGGCTTAGAGTAATTTAACACAGGGCTTAAAATTTCCAATCCTACCCTAGTTAACATTAAACATTACAAATGAACATTTACCAAGCGAGAATTTCCTTAGTCATTTAATAGTGGACATTGAGCCCTACTCTAACTCACAGTGATGGCATTAAATGCTCAGAGCTTCAGAAAGCTGAAAGGTCATTGATTTGTTGAATAAAGATCGGGATGTGGTTACAGCCAGGGTAAGGTTTGAAGTATGGTTGTACTAAGACTGCACGGGGATTGTTGTACATTTACTGTATCTAACAGCACATCTAAAAGCTGTATGGCTGCTCACTATATTTAGTAATGGGTGTAATTTGCGGAGAATGGAGGCAATGAGTATAGCACATGCTGGACGAGAACTAGTCCATATGAAGGTTTTGTATGGACTTTCCATTTAAGACAATCGTCCCACCACGCGCAGGTTGCTTACCCGGTCTGTTTTAAATACGTAGTACCAGAAGAAGAGTGGCCCCACTCCCCAGAGCAAGCCCATCAGAGAGGTCTTCGGAGTGGGCCTGAAGTTGGGATATATGTTTCGGTTTCGAGCATACATCCAGCGGTCCAAGGCTGGGTCTTCCTAAACACCAGAAAATGACCAATGAAACATATATGTCAATACCTCACCACACATTCTCAATGGAGAAAGAGAGGAACTACCAGGAGGCACACCCATATTATCCGGTGTCCTTGGGACAACACCTGCTTTATATGAGTACAACCTGACAGCATTCATTGTATACAGAATACAGAGTAAGGAACAGCGCACACAAAATTAAAGTTTTAAATTCTACAAGGCTGTTTATAGGGATACTATAGTCACCAAAACAACTTTAGCTTAATGAAGCAGTTTTGGTGTATAGATCGTGCCCCTGCAGTCTCACTGCTCAATTCTCTGCCATTTAGGAGTTAAAATCACTCTGTTTATGCATGCAGACCTAGTCACACCTCCCCGCATGTGACTTGCACAGCCTTCCTTAACACTTCCTGTAAAGAATCATCTAATGCTTACACTTCCTTAATAGCAAATTCTGTTTAAATTAGAATTTCTTATCCTCTGCTCTGTTAATAGCTTGCTAGACCCTGCAGGGACATTCTATATGTAATTTAAGTTCAATTTACAGACCAGGAGATAAAAACTTTTAAATTTGCATCTGATTGAAAGGGGAGGTGTGACTAGTGCTGCATAAACAGAAATTAGATTTTCAGCCCCCCCCTCTCTCTGTCTCCCCCCTCCTGCCAGCCAGTCTCTATCTCTCCCCCGTCAGCCTGTCTCTTCCCCCTCCCGTCAGCCAGCCAGTCTCTCTCTC